TAGGACCCACTGTATCCCAATTTTTTTTTTATAAACCGCCGCTGGCATCGCATCAGGCCTTGGGCTGCTAAAGCTTTTCATACCAAAAACAGTGGCTTTGACCTCATCCAAGCCAGCCTCCTTCATGAGGTCATTACGTTGATTAGTGGAGATCTTAGGGCACTCGAGATTTTGCATGAATTTTCTCCTACAGTCAGTAGAATCACTGAATAGTTTTGTAAAGTACTTTTGAATATGAGCAGCCAACTCCTCTTGGTTGGTGGACCAGTTGCCATTAATCTTAAGTCTCTAAATGTTTTTCTTATTGTGGTGAATGCTAGCAGCTTTGTGGAAGTAACTTGTATTCCGATCTCCACCTTTGATCCATTCCACCCGCCATCTTTAGAACCACAACATTTCCACTCTATCAAGAATTGGAATATTTCGGTGACTTCTGTATGCCTTGGATTCTAGCTCTGAGGTGTCGCTTTTGACGAAAAACATCCCCAAATTCGTATTTACTCCACTCCTTGCTGGATGACATAGCTTGATGAATAGCGTCATCTATAGAATTAGAGCTTACTTTCCAGGCATTCGTAAAAAGTGGTTGCAACGAATCATGTAGCATCCAGACTGCCTCAAATCTGAGTGGACGTTCCCGCCAAACCGGGTGTTCAAAATTACTTGAGAATAGAACTGGATGGTGGTCTGAATGTAACCGAGGGAGGTTAAAGGATTTTGCTTCTGGGAAGCTAATGTTTGCCTCAATATTCCAAACCCCTCTGTTTAGTTTTTCCGAAGAACCACCCGGCCACCCTCGTGTTTCACCCAAGTAAAGGGTATTCCTTCTGAGCCAGTTTCATATAGCTCACAACTATATTGTCGTCGTACCCCGAGAGTTGGAAGATTATTCATGAGAAACAAAAGTAACATCAGACTTGTTCGATTAAGAAGAAATTCAGCAAAAATTAAATAACATACTCCATATTTAAGATCCCTTCTCAATGAATCCATTTATGAACAATTGAGATAAACAAAAACGTAATAACAATTACTACGTATCATATACTATCGTATGTCACTGGAGAGAAACGTGGCTACGGAAAGAAGAACAGAGAACTTACTTTACAAAAAAGAAGAAGCAATCCAGCAAGAAGTTGACCATGTATTCCAGCATTAAAATAATACATGTCAGCTCAAAAAGTAGCCATATATTAACTTTTTCTGCTGATAATAATAATCAGCCAAAGTAGGTCATTTAATGGGTGTTTGGCATTTTTTTTTTCAACTTTCAGGCTTATAAGCCCATTATTTGTCCTCCAAACGGCCACTTAATAGTTAGGTACTTTCATCTCGAATAATTTATAAACACAAGACAGAATGTAGTTCGATCACTCTGTCTTGTTTTCTCCATATAGCCATATATATAGGTGAGATCTAAAATCATGCTAATACAAGTAAAAAGGGTGAAACATAGACACATAGTCCCACCTCAAAAGTGAAGCACAAAGTTTGATTCTTTTATTACAATAACAATTTTTACAATAAGAGCATCTCCAATGGTAAAATGTGCACGGTGCACACGTGGCATGAGAAATGACCACATAAATATTAGTAAATAAATTCTTTCTCTCCTTATTTGAATGATTTTATACATTTTTGGTAAGTTTTTCTCCACAATGTCAAGGAGACTGTCTAGATGTTGACATTGCTGTTGACATTGCAGGGAAAAACTTACCAAAATTGTATAAAATCATTCAAATAAGGAGATAGATAATTTATATGCTAATATTTATGTGGCTATCACTCATGCCACATGTGCACCGTGCACATTATAGCATTGGAGATGCTCTAAGTTTAGTAAAGAGACTAACATATTTTATATGAAGCACGTAATCTTAATGAATGATCAAAACTCTTTTAATAAAGAATCATTACTCGAAACATGTACTACGAGTTGGGCTAACCAAAACCATCAAATCGAAATTCTCAGAGAATTCCAAGAAACATTCACAAGTTTTCAATCCAATGCAAATTCCAGAATCATGAGTTGGCCAGTTAGTGAACCTATTACATGCAATCTCTAAATATTCCACTACATCACCACAGACTCGAGCCATGGGACTTTTTTTTTTTAAATTACCCATTTCAAGCATCATTAGTTGATTAATAAAAACAATAGTATCTCCTAGATCATAAGTCGTGTATGTTTGCTTTTGCAGACACATTAAAACATGATTGATCGAAAAGGTAAAATTAGGGTTGGACAAGCTTCAATTTTTTCAGTTTTGATTTGTTCCATTTTCGGAGATACTATACCAAATTAAATCAAAATCATTTATGTTTCGGTTTGATTTCGATCGATCTAGTTTTAGTCCGGTTTGAGAATGGTTTCGTTTTGTTTGGTTTCAAGTTCGGACTAAAAATGATTTGATTTCATTTAGTTCGAGTTGTTGCAGGTTCCTATGTATTTTGGTTTATTTGATCTAAAAAAAATCTTTTAGAAATTAAAAACCAAAGTAATAGTCCATCTCCCTGTGATTTTTTTCTTTTCATCCCAAAAGACGAACCACAAAACCGTGGACTAAGGATGTTTTCTTTTGGACTGTTTTCAGTACTAGACCAGACCAGACCAGACTTAAACAGACCAGACCAGACCAGACTTAAACAGACCAGACCAAATTTTCGTAGTTAAAAAATAAACAGGGACCAGACGTTTACCAGACCAGACCAGTTCAGACCAGAACAGACCAGACCAGACTTAAACAGACCAGACCAGACTAGACCAGCAAATTTCAGTCCAAAAGAAAACATCCTAAATGTTGGGAGTTATTTACTTAATTTTATTAACCAGAAAGAGTGCAAGAAATAAAATGCAAATAAGTACAACAATTAAAGGAAGTCAGTAATTTAGAGAAAGTATTTATGAAAGTTTCTTTTGGATATTGGTTTGAAGACGTGTTTGAATACGTGTTTAAATAAAATGCAAAGAAGTACAACAATTAAAGGAAATCAGCAATTCAAACCAGGGAGCTTGGTTTGGAGACATGTTTGAATATTGCTCATTGTTGTCCTGTTGTGTCTTTTGGATATTTGGAAGTGACTATGAAACCATAATCCTATGTAGGTGTTGTTGGAGAAGTTTTAGTGTCTAAATCACCTATAATATATAGTTTTCCCATTGATTTCTTTTTGAGCTTTTGATCAATGTCTTTTTGGATGTCTAAAAGTCCATCTTTAACCTTGCGAGAAATGCCTAATACTCTTCTTTAACCTTGCAACATGAGGCTCATAAAAAACGTCATAAGCATTTGCAAAGTTCTTAGGTGCGCTATTACTTTGTTCTCGTTGCTCAACGCTCTGAGTGACATCCAATTGTGTAAAGTGCTCAATGTCATTTTGAAAAAGTAGACTAGATATAAATGTCATTTTTCTTGAGTTTTTCCTGAGTGACATGCATAAATCCCTATCTAAAATCGACAGTTATACATTTTGTTGAGTCACTTTCATCTGGATTGACTCGTTTTTTCTCATCAAATTAATGACTCTTGAGATACCCGTCGATAGACCTCTAATTCTAAATCCATTTCGATCCTTAGGTATAGAAAATGAGTCATGTCCTCTTACAATGATACGACAAAAATCCCAAAACAATTGAAGAAAAAATGGATGATAATCAATTTGCCTAATTCCGACCTATTGCAATACCCTTTGTGATATTTATTGTTTAAATAAAATGTGAAGATGGATTAAAGACAGAAAAAGACATACTACTCTAGACGTTTATTTTTCAACAGTCTAAGAGCAACCTCATTGTTTAGATTATCTAGAGATTAATTTGATGATGTGGCTAATTTTTTTTTTGAGATTATGATTGAGATAATGAAATTGTTTGCAAAGATTATTTATAAAAAAAATCCATAATCAAAATTTGAAACCAGATTATTTCTCTAACAAATATGGAAAATTGGGTAAGTAGTTTGATACTTTTCCTTATATAATCCATTATAATAACGCATAGCTCAGATTCTTTGAAATGGCAAGTAGCCAGGAGCGAGGAACTCCTGATATAGCTGCTCCGTACTATGAGATGAAGCTGTTACGTAGTACTCCGTATATGTAAATTAAAAAATTAGTTGATTCAAAAAGTGGCACACATCCTCATTTTAGAAAGAACATATTGCCTTTTAATTTGAAAAGATTTCAATCATAATTTAACAGAAGAAAAACAATTAAACTGGAGAAGAAATGGAACAATGTTTGTAATCAAGAAAATTAGAAGAAGAAAAGTAATACGTTGGTGAATTAATATATAAAAATGCGGACATGTGTTTTTGTAGGAGAGATACTCTTTTAATGCTTTTTATACAAAAATCACAATAACCTAAGATAATGATTTAGAGAAAGTTAAGAATATTTGATATCATTTATGATTTTATACATGGCAATGATGTGGCACAAAAAAACTGATTATTTTAGTATCATCAATGTAGTTGCTCTTTTTTGCACATCCTATCTTAATGAATTGCTCCAGTACTATACAATAATTAATTACCTACTGAATATACAACTAGAGTCGCTCAATCTTAATTACTCATGAACAGAAATTGATGGAATAAGTTAAATGGTCATTGGTTAACTAACCCCTAATTATAATTTGTAAAAATGGTAAACACAAGAGTGAAAACTGGGAAGTAAGTTAATCTAGGAGGAGGCTTTATTAAATTACTCCGTACTACCTCCGTAACATTGGGATGTTCCCATTTGAAAAGTAGGTAGATTAAGAATAGTGAAAGGAGATATGTATTATTAGGGGTATGATGGGAAGATAGTGAAATAATGTGATGGAATGAAGGATAAATCCAAAAAAAGTAAGTGTAATAGTGTATTATTTTTAAAATTATTGAGGGTATAATGGGAAGAATTAGAAATGAGAAGATATTAATGTTACGTCCAAATAAGGAAAGTGGGAAGATATTAGGTAGTATTATATATGCGTGGATGGGAGGGAAGTAGAAGGAGCGGCGGTGGCAAAGAGATGAACGCAAAACATAGTAGCCCACACGGCAAGTACAGTGGGGTCGCTCCCATTAAAGTTTATCTCCAAAGTCGGAGTGGATATAACAATTTTCGCGAAGGGGGGATTTTCAGCAAACAAATGAATCTTCTCTACGGAATCTGAATTACAGGGGCAATTCACGTTCATGGCAGGAAAAAGATAACTACTTTGCATCACCTGGAGAAGAAGAAGATAGAGATAGATTTAGTGAGTATCACCCAAACTCTGCGCCGTCCTCATACGGTGTCCTTTATGGGCCAGTTACTTTCCACCGCCGCCGGAGCAAAGTCCAGATCCACGGCATCGGTTTCCCCAGTGAAGGACAGTGGAGGTTCCGATGACGTCACCGATGCCTTTTCCGACGGCGCGTCGTGCGACTACACCTACGAGATACCTGATGAGTGCCTGGCTTGCGTATTCCAGTCTCTTAGCTCCGGCGACCGGAAGCGGTGCTCCCTCGTCTGCCGTAGGTGGTTGCGGGTCGAGGGACAGAGTCGCCACCGTCTGTCGCTGAACGCTGTATCTGACCTTTCCGCTGCTGTTCCTTCTGTCTTTTCCCGATTCGATGCGGTCACCAAACTCGCGTTGAAATGTGACCGCAGATCGGTGAGTATTGGTGATGAGGCCTTGGTACTTATCTCCCTCCGTTGCCGGAATCTGGATCGACTGAAGCTTCGCTCTTGCCGAGAGATCACCGATGCCGGAATAGAGGCTTTTGCTAAGAATTGCAAGGGTTTGAAGAAGCTCTCTTGCGGATCTTGCACCTTTGGATCCAAAGGTATGAACGCTGTTCTACAAAACTGCACGTTCCTAGAAGAACTATCAGTGAAACGTCTGCTTGGTATCACAGACCCGGCTTCTGCGCACCCGATTGGATCTGACGTAGCTCTTTCATCGCTAAAAGTTATCTGCCTGAAAGAGCTTTACCATGGACAGTGTTTCGGACCATTAATTGTTGGATCTAAGAACCTGAAGACGCTTAAGCTCTTCAGGTGCATTGGTGATTGGGACAAGGTTCTAGAAAGGATTGCCTGCCAGGTCAGCGGACTCGTTGAGATTCACCTTGAAAGGCTTCAGGTTAGTGACGCTGGTCTCTCTGCTATTTCCAACTGTCCGAATCTGGAAATCCTTCAACTTGTGAAAACACCAGAATGTACCAACTTCGGACTTATGAATGTTGCTGAACACTGCAAAATTCTCCGAAAGCTTCATATTGATGGGTGGAAAACAAATAGGATAAGCGATGATGGGTTGCTTGCTGTGGCAGAGCACTGCCTTAATCTGCAAGAACTGGTTCTGATTGGCATCAATCCAACTCGAACAAGTTTAGAGAAACTCGCTACAAATTGTGTGAATTTAGAAAGGTTAGCTCTGTGTGGAAGTGAGACTGTAGGGGATCCGGAGCTGTCCTGCATTGCTGCGAAATGCATTGCGCTGAAGAAGCTCTGTATAAAGAGTTGCCCGGTGTCTGACCTGGGAATGGGAGCTCTTGCCCGAGGGTGTCCAAACTTGATAAAGGTGAAGGTTAAAAAATGCAGCCTAGTAACTTCTGAGGGTGCTGACGAGTTGAGGGGAAGTAGGGATTCAATTGCTGTAAATTTAGATACTTGTGATCAGTTGGAGAACCTGGGAAGTGATGGTGGTGCCCCTGAAATTGGCCAAGAGGGGAGTGCTGATGGTAGTAGTAGTATTGCATCCAGTGGTGGTGGAAGGTCAACATCCTTCAAAGCAAGGTTAAGTATTATTTCGGGAAGGATTTTAGTTGCTTGCACATTCAGAAGGTTGTCAGGCTTTGGTGGCAGAACTGGTTGAACCCGGTTCAAATGATTCCACCTTGTAGAGGCTAATGCCTATTGGAAGTTTGGAACTGCTTATGTCTGTGTTTCTAATTTGAGTGATGATTACTATAACAACACTCTCAACAGATGCTTTGGTTTTTGGTTGTGTACTGAAAATCCATGACAGTTGAATAAGAATTGGGGTTAAAACCCTAACATTAGTGCATAGTATAATATTTTAGAATCCACAGTGCGTGAATCTTGAATAGAACAAGAACTCATGTGACCCAATCAGCACCTTTGATGTGTCAACAATACCAAATACGATAGTACAAGCTATTTCTGTTTAGGTTCCAGCCCTCCATAAATATGTAAAATGCCTTCAAACCATCTTTGGTCTCACTTTTAGGTAATCCTTTTTACCTAAATGTTGGCCTAAATGTTCTGCATTCACAGGCGCACATGTTTAATGATTATCTTCCATTCTTGCCTAGGGGTTGTGCTTGGTGTTAATTTCTCAGCTATAAAGAAGAAGATGAAGAACGGTGGACCAGATGACCAGATCTCCAACAGACTCCCATTCCAGAAATCACTGCTTCACATGGAGGGATGTCAAGTGGTCTTGCATGATTCATTTGTTTCAATTTTTCCTTTCCCCCCTTAACCCCTTTTTAATTATTAGTAAAGACTGGATCAATGCATAACATTTCTATCTTTTCTTATTCTTTTGAGTGTCTTTGGAATGAAAAGAATGCCTGAGATCTTTTTTCGCAAAAAACTTAATAGGTCAGTTTTTACTCTAAAAATTGAAACCCATTCATAAATTAAAGTGCCAGTATTTGTAATACTAAAGGCGAAAGAAATATTTCTAAAAATTTGTAAAATGGTTTTGACAAGGTTAGAGATGGTCAGTGTAGAAGTCATAGGGAAATCAAAGAAAAAATGCTGGGATTTGAGGTTCTGGGCTTAGAGACTTGGTCTGATTTTGTTGTCTTCACAAAAGAACACCAATCACAGGTTGAAGAACCAAAAAGCCTGCAGTCGTCAATAATTGTAAGATTACATTAATGTGAGATATTATGTTTGATAAAAGCATATAAAGTTTGTACAAATCTATAGTTCAGAAACTATAGAATCCTGCTCTACAGAACAAGTAAGCGCCTAGAGAATTATACGATCCGAGTGTTCATACATAGTTGTCATTCCTAATTGTTGAATGAACTAAGATATACTCTTAGTGAGGTCTTTTTCATTTCTCACAATACAAGGAAAAGTCAGAAAATTAAGAATATATAACATCTGCCAAAACATCACACAGCTCACTCCATGTATGAGACCCATACCAGATCACAATAGTTTTTTTACAGTGAGACAAATTCAAATAATAACACTCACAAGCTCTCCTGAACAATTAACTGACTTGTATGTAAATACAGCCCTCAGACCCCCACACATATACAATGAGTACAATGGCTGCAGAACAAGGAAAAAACTAGTGAACGGTTTTAACCACGACAGGATAGTGTGAGGGCTGGATTTCTACATATAATCTTATAAATTCATATTATAGACATGTTGCTGTGAGGGCTGGATTTTTACATATAATCTTATAAATTCATATTATAGACATGTTGCCATTCATTCTTACTATGTATTTTACCAGGCAGGTGATGTTTGGCAGTTATCTATAGATAGTGCAAACTCAAATGTCCAATCTGAACAAATATGGGATTGGAAGATTTTTGTGATACGCCTATTAGTTTTGATTCTCCAATTTGTTTATTTTTGGTCTAGTATCATTTTATTACTGTTTTGTATGCATTATTATTACGGAGTATATGTGCTAGGGCTACTGGTAAATGTGGAAGTGTATGTATGGTAGTCTGTTTTTTGGCATGGCAAAAAAAAAATCGATCTGTAGGGACCTGCGTTGCCCAGATGCATTTTTCGGGAAGATTCAACATAATATGAGGTGACGTTTTGGTATAAAACTAAAATTTCCTGTCACCTTAAAATGTGTATTAGTTTGAACGTTAAAACTTGATTTACGGATGTGTAAATTGTAAGAGTATTTTTTGCACGATTTCCATTACTTTGAACGTAGACAGGGGCGGATCCAGGAAATTCATGTTGGAAGGGCCATAATTTAAACAAAAAAAATCTAGGTCTTAATCAAAATAACTTTTCACATATATATACACTAAATTTTTTTATTCTTGCAGGGGCGGTGGCCCCCTGGATCTCTATTACTGTCCGCCCCTGAATATAGGGCCTGAATATAGGGATGCATTACAAGTGGATAAAGGTACATCCGGGAGCATTCATTCGCGTTTTGTACGTGAAATACTCTTTATTTGACACACACAATCACACATTATTCAAATTATTTCCAAATTCAGTATGGTTTTATTTGATTAGAATACTTGGATATTTTGATGTCAAATTCTTTTAAATAAAGGGATATCACTTGATAGTGATTTTAAATGTCAACTCACTTTTAAATACTACTACTTGGATACCACTATTCTCGTTATCAGCGGCTATACATTCCACGTTTTCAAGGTTGGCCGCTAGGCTGCGCTATCTGGAATGGATAGCACTACCTCACCAGTTACCAATTTATAACATAAATCAAGAGGCAAGAGTACTCCATGTGTGTGAATTCATTTTTGTAACTCTTTTTCTTATATCTTTTATATTCTTTATCTTTCTATGTTTACTGTAAAAAAAATCTTTCTATTTTCTTATGATATTTTTATCTTTTATTGTTCTTGTGTTCTTTTATATTTTCTTTCATGAGTTACTATCTTATGTCCAGGCCGGCCTGACAAGACTCGTCTTCCGGCCGAGGTCATCAGAGACCATGTCCGGTGAAATTTTTTGATTAATTTTTTTAACATGTTCCTCATGAAATCTAGTTTATCCATATCAAATTTTAGCTAAAATTTCAATCGGTAAGACAGTCAAATAAATTGTTGAAGAAAATTGCGCTATATATATATATATATAATATCAATGGCCAATATTAGTTCTTATTTTTCACCTAGGAAGCACTTTTTATTTGATCCATAATATATATAGCACAATTTTTGTAAATAATTTATTTGACTACCTTTCCGGTTGAATTTTTAGTTGATTTTTTATTTGGATAAACTAGACTTGGTGAAGAACATGCTCAAACAATTTCATCAAAAAATTCTACTGAGAAGGTCACCAAACGGCCTCATCCTGACGACGGTTTTTATCAGGCCGGCATGATACAATTTGCTCTCTACTTATGTTCTTATGCTTTTTTTTAATCTTATACTACGTTTTTATCTTACATTTTTTGTTTTATCTTACGTTTTATCTTTATCTTATCCAGGAGTATTTATTTTTATCATATCCATTTTATCTTACGTTTTTCATACTTTCTCTTCTCTTCATGATATCATGTGTCGATTCATTTTGGATGTGATGCTCTTTTCTGAGAATAAGGCTTGAATGTTGTTGCTGGGAATTTTACTTCTCTCCAGTTACTGGACTTCTCCAGTAGGAGAGATACAGAGACAAATGAGGAAATGGTGGGGTGGGGAAAAATAAAAGATGAGATTTAATTATTATTTTAAGGAGAGAGATAGAGTGAAAAAGAAATGGAGAGAGTAATGAAGAGAAAGAAATGGAGAGGAGTATGACTGACGTGCACTTTGTCGTGATGTGCACTCAAAATAATAATCAATACAACAAATATATGTAGTATATTGAAGTAAGGTTTGTATCCACATGGAAAAGAATATTTTTATTTATATTATAACTAGTAACAAAGGGGGGATTTTAGTTGTGTTTGATTTTAATTAATTAACACTAAGATGAACGATTTATGTGATTTACTTTAATAGAGATGAAGACTTGGTTTTGCTTTTACCCACTTAATGAAATGTTCGTCGATCCAGGTTATATCTTTAACTATTGTCCTCTCGAATACTCAATCAATGAGTATATCCAGTTCATCGAGGGTAGTCATTAATAATGAGACACATTCATTAATAAAACTTACTACCGAGTTAATATAGAACACGCACCGTATATTAACCCGATAGTAGCTAGCAATAAAATCAAGATGAAAACGATTGAGATTGATAACCTCAACACAAACGGTTTATTGGTTTAATCAACATAATTAATTCCCCTTGGTTTATTAACCATGAAACACATGCATTAATAACTCAAGTTTACTACCATGAAACGATCGAACGATTAACAAGTGTATTCGTCGATCGATTCTAGTAATAATTAATATATGAGACAAAACTAGTTGATCCTTTAAGTAATGCTCAAAATATTAAAATGAAATATGAATAGGAATTAATTAATATTCAAGGAAGAATATTAAAGAAGATATAAATCCTACTATAACTAATGTCAAGATGTTAACTAATTGTCATTTTAGTAACACTCCCAACATTAATATAGAGGAAGAAAATAAATACTACTCTAACTAATGTCGAGATGTTAATATAGAGATAGTATTAAGGGAAAAATTAATATTCAAGGAAGAAGATTAAAGAAAATAACTCACAACTTACAATCCATTAAGCTTCAAAGTAGCAAAACCAAGATGAAAGAGTTTAGCTCCTCATTTGGAGACTAAACATGATAGAAAATATAAAGAAAACACTAATCTAAACTGAGCTAAAGAGTATATGTGATTTGGTGATTTTATTGTGAAGGAAAGAGGTGTATTTATAGGCTTTTGGGAGCTGCAGGGTCTGATACCCGATCGGGTATATAAGATACGCGATCGGGTATCTTAGGAAATTGCCCAGAAAGTCACTTTTCTGGGCATACCCGATCGGGTATGTAACAAATCTTCACAAAAATTTGCTCCCACAATCATTTATTCTCGGATTTGATTTGGACAATCGAATCAAGCGAATACCCGATCGGGTATAGGCAATACCCGACCGGGTGTATTTTTTCCAAATCAAAATCTTTCTTGTCTCCTTGCACTTTCCTTGATCCCTTAGATGATCTTTGACCTATTTAGCTCAGAATAATCCTAATCTAAACAGATTATAAATAAAATTGAAAATAAAATATTACACCAAAAATGTGTAATTTTCACAACTAGAAAATTACACGAATATCAATGACCCTGTTGGTGGTGGCTTGAACTCTATGTGCTTTTAAGCCTTTGATTAAATTGTCTTTCTTTGCATTTCCCAGCATATATCAAACAAAAAAAATAGAATTTCTTAGAGTTTCCAAACATAATGAAAATAAACAAATATGAAAGAACACTATTTTTTTTCTTCCTCGATCCTGGAGCAAAGGTATAGTATTAATAGTATGGTTTCTCAAAGGGGTTTGTTTTGTTAGATATACATCACCGGAGCAGTATTGGCATTTAAGTAATGGATTATCAGATCAGTTGTAATACCCTTCATTCTTGGTTTGTCCTCAAATAATACTGATTAAAAGCATTTGGACAAAAAAAGAGACTTTTCTTTTAAGTTCCAAAAATAAGACTAAATAATACTTAAGGGACTATTACACCCTTACTAAGTCGGCCACAGTAACCCGTCACAGTGACCAAAGTGCAGTGACCAATGTTACAGTTACCAATGACATAGTTACAAAATTCATCTAGTGACCAAAAATCATTAGTGACCAAAAATCCAAAATTCACCAGTGACCAAAAATCGTCAGTTATCACTGTCCCAGTTACCGCTGTCTCAGTTACCACCGCTCCAGTGACCAACGTTATAGTGACAAAAAATTCAAAATCTATTAATGACCATAATCGTAAGTGACTTAAATCATAGTGACAACTCAAGCGGTGACTAACCCGTCTTTAACCCTGCCCCAATCACCCTGCCACCGCAAACCACCACAGCCAGCCACCACCGCTGGCAGCACTGCCGGCCACCACCGTTGGCCACCAACGCCGCTACCGCACTCACTCCGGTAGCCAACACCCCCAACCCGTCTTTAACCCAGCCTGGGTTATTTACTCGGCGAGTACTCAGCGAGTACTCAGTGAGTACTCCCTACTCGGCCTATGACCTTGCAGAGTAGCACATTACTCGGCTCGAGTTATTTTTCCGAGTTACTCGCCGAGTACTCGGCGAGTTAGCCAACTCGGTCAGTGGGTCAAAAAGGCGATTTACTCGGGAGTACTCGGTATGTAAAAAAACATTACCTCCGCTTGGAAAAAAATTAAATTGAGATTATCCTCTGTGTTGTTTCTTATTCTCCCTCATGTTGCCTATTATATTCTTCTCTGATTACTGTAATAAACTCTGAGAATTTTGGATTGTTCTTCGTTTGCTTGTGCTTCTTAAACCGGTGTTTTCATTGTACATTTTCAAGTCTTTGGCCAACTAAAGTGAATGTATTGAATGTACCCCTGAGAACTGAGTTGCTGAATGCTGAAATAAAATCTCTTAATTGAAAAGGTGAAAAATATAGCTTGGCAAAAAAGCATCATGTTTGGTTTTGGGTGAGCCAATTTTCATTTAGGGAACTACCTTTGAGGACTAGTTGTTCGGTAGGTGCCACTTTGAAGTTACTTTGAAGTTCTTCAATTGGAATAAGAATAGGTGCCAAAAAACTGCAGAAAATATTTGCCTTTTCTTCCAATGCTCGTGCTTCTTGAAGTTGTATTCTGGTATTGTATACGTATTATATGCATTTTAAGACAATTTCTATCCTTTTATTCACTTCTAAACATTTTAAGACAATTTAAAGACAATTTTATTACTATATTTTAAGACTACTATATTTAAATATATTTTTTATATTTAATTAATACTAGGCCGAGTAATCACCGAGTAATCTTGAGTAATCGGTCATACTCGCTACTTGGCCCTTGATCGAGTAGCTACCGAGTAGCGAGTAAACTACCTAGAACCCAGCCCCAATCACACTGCCACTGCAGCCACCGCCTCCGGCCAACGGCACCTCCGTCCACTGCCGCCTCTGCCCATAGCCGCCCCAAGCCACCGCTGCCCCTGCCCAATCCTCTCGCCATCCCCATGCCCAGCCCCCCCCAATTCCCAGCTACCCTGCCGCAGAATCCCCTTTCCCGGCCTCCCAGCCCATCCCCTCTCCGATCCGGCAGGCGGCAGTCCTGCAGCCCCCAACCACCGTCTCTCCTGCCCCTGCACCACACCCCATTCCCCACCAGCCCATCCTGGCCCCTCCCCCTACCCCACCAGCCCACCCCCTGTCCCACCAACCCACCCTAACCACTCCAATTCACAGTAGATGAGTAGACGCCACTCCCCCAGCCTACCCCAAACCCCAGCTTCACCCTCAGACCCAAGAATTATGAGCTATTCTCACCCTCAGTACCCAGATCCCGCCCCTCAACCCCAAGGCCACAGTTTTCAACCCTAGGCCCCAATCGCACCACTGTTACCCTAATCGCGATCTCGCCTATGACCGATGTACTCAACGCCTTCGCTCGCCGCGCCGTCGCTCGCCTCGCTTGGTTGTCTTCAGATCCGAAGATTTCCAACACCGTCAAGCAACACCAAGAGACCGAGAAGAGGAGAAAGAAGAAACTGAAGAATGGCGAACCTGTGGAAGGCGGCGGCGGCGACGACGACGTCAATATAGCCAAGGCAGAGCTCGAACGACGAAGACGTGAGGTTTCCAGATCCATCGCACATAGATTAATTAAGGATACGGGAGAGGTGAAAGGATACGGGAGAGGTGAAAGGCTGGGGTACTTTGGGATTTTCAGATTAATTAACTCTCATTTTTGTCCAGATTCCATTGTGGCCCTACTTTTGTCTTTGCAAAACACGGGAGTATTATATCCGTCATTCTTTCTTCTAATATTTAGTGGCTTCAATTGGGTGTGTTTTTGGGTTCCATATTCCCTGTCCACAAAATGTTTCAAAAAGGATAAATAATGAAATTGAATTAATTAAAAGACTTTCGTCTTTATGTGGATTCAAGCTACATCATCCAGTTTATCTTTAACTTATGATGGTGTGGTTGTAGGTTATGTTGATAATAATGATTAAAGTCCCGTGTGATGTAATGTTATTGTGTTAAGATTTAATTAACGCAACACGAAGAACAATATAAAAGAACATGCGAAATTTGGTAGCCCATTTCGCCACAAAGGACTACGTCTGGGGGCACTACCAAGCCAGGAATGTTATTAATATTTCGGATCAAGTGACGTGATTACAAGGGAGGGGGTTTGTATTTATAGAGAGTAAAACTTAACCCCTAAAATAACTAGGACGAGCGCGGGCCCACATCTGTACGGCCCAAACTGTACGGCCCAAACTGTACGGAAAATCGCGACTCCTCAGAAACGGATCAAAAATTTCGGATAGGACTTGGTTATACAGTTTCTAACACCTCACATGTATGTAGAGGAGGGAAGGCTGCTTTGCATGGATGATATATATATAATAATGACTTCACTAGAAAGGACATTTTTTCTGTTGTACAAAAACTAAGTTGTCGTGACAATGTGACATGCATACTAACAATTTATATATACTAACCATATATACGTAAACACACACATATATGAAATATATGCACATACTATATTATTATTAATATTATTGATACTAATATATAGATTTTAATTTTGCTAACCATTGATGAAGAAGCAGGCTGTTGATATTGCTGTGATCGACCCTACAGTGTAGTTCGTTAAGGCAAAAACTGAAGATCGCGGTTCAGTATGCATGTTTATGTGAGGTGATAGATTAAATAAAGAGCATTATTGTGAGCCATTTAAGTAAATGCTCTTCGTTTTGATTTTTTTGAGGTTTGTGTTAAACTGTGCTTTGTTTAACTTTGAGTCAAAGAACATAGTTATCCCAAGAAGTGAAGTAGTGATATATCCTTTTCATAATGTGTGGGGCCACATGTACACCCAGAAAGGCTAATGTATCTGTATAAGAGAGGGAGATTCATTTCAGCACATTGTTGTGATGTTTGGAGTATATTATAGTGAAGAACTGAAGTTATGTCCACAATTATTCAAAATCCCCTTTACGTCTTTTTACATAGTTGATACTGCACTCTTATTCTCACAACTCAAGTCAATAAAATTGAAACATATCATTGATAGCATCACCCTTTGAAATTGATTAGCAAGATGAAATGGCTTTCCCTATAATTTACTTCATGGCTTGGTGTTAAAAATCGTATTGACTCATCGATAGGTGTTATCTTTTTATACAATTTAACATATTATTTATAATTCATATTTACTAATACTTCTTACAATTGATTTTTAACGTATATTGAAGTAATAACATAATTCAGCTTACCTACACCATTCTTACAAAAGATATACTACTACAGTATTTAAAAGTGATGATTTTTTATTCATTATTTAAATTTTTAAGTTTCAAAGTAACTTATTAGTTGTATTTTTTCCCAATTCTTAAACCAAGTGGGCAACACTTATTTTTAGGTTTAATTGTGTTTTTTTTCCTGATCTTTGTTTTTCTGATTCGTAATATACATTGATTTTTTTCTTTTTTGGTGTTTATTTTTTCCTATGTACTTACTACAAGTAGGGCCGTAGGGGGGATAGATAGTTGGAGGATTCTTAATTTATGCAAACTTATATATCGGATTATATAACTACATCTAAAAGATAGAAATCTTATAAAAATAAGCGTTGCATCAAAATTTAAATTAATTTATTAGAGTGAAAGTTTAATTTAAGTGGTTTTTACATATATATTACTGGCCAATACTATGTAAGTTTACAAAAATGTGACTATCATATTCACCAACTCACAAATACATACGGTAGTTTTTTAAAAACGTGGGCAGTTAGTAAACTCATTTGAATAGGTAGTCATATACTACCTCCATCCCAAATTGATTTGCAAATTTGACTTTTCTTAATCAAACAGTTTCATTGTAGTAGTATTTGCTTAATTATGATGTCAATTTTTAATTATACTCTAATTTGGTGTTTGTAACTTTGAATAGATTTTAATGTAGTTTCCAAATATGTAAATTTTAATTATTGAAAATTGAGTTAATTATCGATAGGGATGATTGACTGTTATTATTGGTTGACAAAAAAGTGTTGACTTTGCAAAACAATTTGGGACGAGGGAGTATTTGTTATTGAGCTTTAGAATGGTAATGTTTATGTAATTTTTTCAAAGTGTTTAAAGGTACTAAAGGAATAGAATTGTCTCCAATAAGAAATATGTATCCTATATCTAAGCAGTTCCACCCCATCCTACGTGCAGCCTATATATATATATATATATATATATATATATATATATATATATATATATATATATATATAGATGTGAGGTTCTTTGCAACAACACATGAATGATACATAGTGTACACATCGTTTCCAACTAAAACGCCTACATCGATCTGAAAAATTGCTTAGTTTTCTTGCTTTGTCTCTGTTCGCCGGAACAACCGATTGTGTGTTCAAGCGGTTTTTCATAGTCACCTTATCCTGAAAAACTATAGCTACAACGCTCTTGACAACGTGGGAGGCAGCAAATATGTTCTAAAGAAATTGTGTGTTGCACAAGCATTGACTTTCTATCCGTTCTTGTTTATGTTTTCTTGGCTATTTTAATTAATTTTCATTAACTATGTTCTTTATTTTCCCACCCAACATTTTTGACATTTGATCATGCGGTCACTTGTCCGGGTCGTCAACCGGTCCGGTTTTGATAACATAGGTAATAAGGAGAGTTCCAAAATAAATCGCAATTTATATTTATCACACTCGAAAACAATATGGAAATCAGTCATATAAAAAAGTACGTATGCGTTGAGGATCTCAATAGTTAGCAATCTCATCAAAACTTCAAAGCTCTATCTAGCAGCCGAGATAAGAGACAGAATTCACAAAATCAAAGGAAAAAATTCTGTTGAACTAATTTGTTTTTAAAAATCAAGTAATTAACGCCGTTGTTCTGCAGATAGGGCATGTCCTCTTTTGCCTCACCCATTTGGCTATGCAGTCACCGTGGAATTTGTGGGAGCAGGGTGACAATAATGTCATCATCGCCCCTGAGATAAACTCGTGTAAGCAGATGCTACAAGCCTCGCCTTTTTCGCCAGAAAACCACTCTTTCTTAAGTCTTGATATTTCGCTCTGAGACATTCCTTCACATGGAGCAGGGGCGTCATAAAAAAACAATGCCCTCCTAACCAGGGGCTGCGGTGGTGCCCTCCTAGTCGGGGGCTGCAGTGGTGACCTCCTGCCCCGCGGGGCAGGAGGCATCGTCGCAACCTCCGACCTCCCTCTGACCGGAGAAGATGGGACAGGATCGTCAGCCGGAAAGTCGGAAACATTGGCGGCGTTTAAAAGCAGACTGTCGTCAGGAAAAAGAGCCTGCGGTGGCGGCGGAAGTTGTGATAAGAATGTGTAAGTCGTCTCAATCTCGTTGGCGAGGAGCAAGCCGTAAGGCCGGCTTCGGGTGCTGGACAAAGCAAAGGGGACCATAGACATGGCCAATTGGCTGCACAGCGCAGAATCAAGACCTAAGTGTGTGGCCAATAGGAATCTGATCAAACGAGACGCGTTTTCTTCGGAAGACATATGGCTTGGATCGAACGGCACTTGCACACGACGATCTCCCAAAGTGTTGATGGCGCCGCCGCCGTAGCTTGCTTTGACGATCATAGAGAAGCCGATTAGGTTGAGGGCAGGGTTAGGGAGCGGAGAGACTGTCATACTTAAAGTGGTCTCCATCTGAACTCAATTGTTTGCACACGGCTATTACTTCGTACGATAGTACTACATATATACGGATTACTTGCCACTTGGTTAGATTTAACTTCCTTGTGTTTCCAAATCTATACTTGCTTATTGTTTTCCCCAAGTTTATTTCCTACATCTCTCACTTTCTTTTTCAAGTCAAATATATAAAATTTTATTTCTATTTTAGGAAACAATTAAAAATATTAAACACAAAATTTAATTATAAAACATAAAAATAGTACTATCCCTATTATTATAGCCAGTACGTATACCGTGGGATCATCCCACGGTAAGCACTGTGCTCCACATCCAAAACGATGTAGTTTTACACAATTTTTTTTTGAAATTCGCGTGAAGAGTAACGCGTGAAGCCGTGAACATACAGTAACTGTTTTTCTTTCTTTTTGTCCCAGTAACATGACTGATGTAACTCACGTGTAAATTAATGTAACTCACATTATTGATCAATGTAACTCAACTCCATTTGAAATGTAACTTGTCAAATACATAGTATAAGAAATAAAATATTGATTTCAATGTAAACTATGAAAAGTTGATCCTAATACATTAATTACTTTTTCTAAATAGTGAATATGCTTTATTTTTAATATTGGAGAGGTTTATTCCATGGTATAACTGGCATAGATTAATTGCGCAGTTATCTTTAGTTATTATATCTTCAAGAAGTATCGCCACACGGCTATTATATTATATACGGATTACTTGGTTTAATTTCCATGTTATGTTAGACCGTTTGTTTCCAAATCTATACGTACTTATCGTTTTCTCCACGCTTATTTCAACTGGTTTTTCACCATTTATCCAACTATTTAAAAAGATTAAAAATATCATAGTAAAGATAAAACATCACATATACTCTTTATTTACTGGAATAAGTGAAGATAAACACTATAAATTATTATAAATTTGCTTCTAAACAACACATAAAACCATCTTGATCAGTTTATGTTATGAGTATAAATACTTTCAAATTTGAATGTTTTGTGAATTTTCGTTTTCGAAAAGAAAAACAAAACTAATGTGAACTCTTCATAATATTTTTCTACAAATCATCGATGGACCAATATTTTATTTTATTATTAGTGTTATCCCATTTATCCAACTATATATGCAGCATAAATTAAGGGAAAAGGTCTAAATAGTCTTTTCTATTATTTTTAATCCAATTACTAAATCATAAACTTAAAAATTATTATACAAATATATTTACTTTGAAAATCCGATCAATCCAGCCATTTAACCAATTTTGACCCATTATATCGTGTTAGTTTTTGAAGAGAACCTCTAAAAAGTCTTAAATTAAAAAAAATGTAATAAAAAAGTAAGGGTCAAACTATATATACCGTATATTTTTAAAATTTGAAGTTTTAGTACTCCTTCCCGTCCCAATTGACTTTGTCAACTTTCATTTTCTGTTTGTTTTAAAACATTTTACCACTTTTCTTTTAAAGCAATGAATTTATGACTCTTTCATTTTCTCTCCTATGCACAAATCCTAATCGCACAGTTTTAACTATTCTAATTTCACACCCAACATCAACATGACAAAGTTGAGTGAGACGGAGTTAATAAATTCTACACCTTTTTAAAAGGTTTTAGATTTATTTAAAATTTCAATTTACTACTTTTGCATTTCTACTTCTATATTTTTATAATTTGATCATGTGAACTTTTTAAAGATTTATCAAAGTTGAAGTTTTAGAAGTCTAATATTCAGAATCGTGATCTCTGCTTCATAACTTCTAATTCACTTTCTTTTTGTTATTTTTCCTTTTATACAAACTTATTAAATTATATTTCTAATCAACTCCTATGAATTTCAATATGTGAACCTAATGTAAAATAGTACTTTAAAGAAAATGCATTAATATGACATTTAGAAAGTGAACATGAGATTAGTACGGGATGAGCATACGTAACTTACAAAATGTTCGTTGATATGAATATTGCAAAGTTTGTTAGTTTGACATAACAACATATTCATTGAGCATTAATGAACTTTTAATGTAAATCAGACATATTATGTGTAACACCATCCCCAAATGTATTTACTTTTACGTAAATGATGTAATAAACCTTATGGAATGATTTATGAATTTACGAAGTTGTAAATTTTTATTTATTCTTTCGCGTGAATAGTAAATTGTACGTGGGACCCACACCGGGAACGGGGGCCGCCCGACATTCCCGAGACCATATATTTTATTCATCTTGGTCTAGATAATAAATATATATTGGTGGATATTTCATTTGGGCCATGGAAAGGCCCGGAGTTGACCGATTGGTCAAAAGAAGCCCAAATTACCGGTACTGGTAATTTAACAGATAACAGCCCGAAAATGAATTTCGGAGACTTCTAAATTAATGTTTTGAAATATATATTATTTCAAGAGGCCATTACGACTGGGAACACGTAATGTATTTTATTTGACCCGATAAAATAAAATATAATTAAAACAGTCCGAAAAATACAACTTTCGGGGCCGAATGTACATCTTGGGACACAAAGGGATGACCTCCCACATGAGTGGGGGCCACCCCACGTTTTTTGTGTGCTCAACATGACCTATGGGGGCTGGAATGACAAAATATTATGTGAAGGAGGATCATTTGGCATCTAAAGTACCAAGGAGGACCCCTCACCCTCTCTTATTTGTCATTTGAGACAAAAGTGAGTGTCCTCTCTCCCACCTATCATCAACCTCGACCAACCCCATCAAGAAAGGATAAGGAAGCTCTCAAACCATCCTCCATAGCTGCAAAATTCGAGCTCAAGCATAAGTGCTCAAAGAAGGAAGATTAAAGAGGGAAAAAGTTGGGAAAAGTGTAAATAATTAAGGTAATGACCTTATTATAACTTCTCCTTTATTTTTCTTCTACCATATGAGGTATATATCATGTGAAGGACCCTTAGTATGGTTCCACATGTTATAAGTATGGATTTATGGGTAGGAAGATGGTTCTATGTCCAAGAACGGACTTAGAGACCAAAACTACCGGTTCACCGGAAAATAACCTTTTAGAGGTTATTTGTATTAATATGAGTTTTATGATTATAAAACCTTGCTAGGCACTTGTAAAGGGTATTTCAAGTGATTTCACAAAGTTGGAAAAGTCGCCGGAGTTGTCGCCGGAGTTGACCAAAAGTCGCCGGAGTCTCACTGGAGTGCAACCAAGAAGGGTAGAACTTCTTAACGCTAGTTCAAGGTGAGTGGACGGCTTAATATCTTATAACTTTTGGGTTAATTATGAGATTACCTAAATAAATGTTATATGAGTTCATAATGATGTTTAAAAGATATTTAAACATGTGATTAGCCAATAGAGTTAAGTTTGTATGAAAGAAATTAATTGTTGATGCATGGAATATGATATGAAGAATTATATGAAATGCATATTTGTTTGAAGTGTATTAGAAGCACAAATGAATATCATTAACTTAATTATATGATGATTAAGTTGATACACACAAGACATGAAATGGCGGTCAACGAAAACGTTGACCGATGGACAAAGGATTTAATTAATACCGGTTGGTATTAATTAATTATAAATCTATATAAATGCATGGCTTTGCATGGATTGTGATACATAAGCTTTATGTATTGAATTAGTTATGAGTAACTAAGTATGATATAGACTCTATCTAGGTTGATAGGAGGTTGATCATAGGGAAATATTTTGGTGGAGGACCCTAGTACTTAAAAGTACTTAACACTCAAAACTTGGTGGAGGACCCTAGTACTTAAAAGTACTTAACACTCAAACTTGGTGGAGGACCCTAGGACTTTAAGTCCTTAACACTCAAACTTGGTGGAGGACCCTAGTACTTAAAAGTACTAAACACTCAAAAACTTGGTGGAGGACCCTAGTACTTAAAAGTACTTAACACTCAAAACTTGGTGGAGGACCCTAGGACTTATGAGTCCTTAAAACTCACAAACCGGTGGAGTATCCAAGGATTATGATCCTAAAACTCATAGATTATGATATACAAATAGGGACAAGGAGGAGTCCTATACACTCATAGGTATATGGGTGGGTTGGGGTTTTTAGTCAAGAATATTGACTATTACTATTTTTCCCAAATAAAATGGTGATCTACGGATCGGATATTTTCCAAGTATATATATACTAATAAGTATTTCATAACTTGGGGGAAAGACTATTTATTTAAGTATCACCCTATGTTTGGGTCTTATACTTGAAACGCTAGTTATTCTATATTTAGCCTGCTACTCGCTCGGTACTTGTACTGACCCCTTCGGGGGCCCCCACCATTTTCAGGTTGAAGCTAGGGCTTGCTACTTGCACCTTCTCACGGGTGGTATCATATCGGGAAGACGTGGTTCGTGCTTTCCTTATTTTCTTTCAAACTACCGAACACTTGCTCATGGATATTTGTTTTACTATAAACACTTTTTTTGGGCTTGCATGCCCATGTTGTTGGCCGGTTGTGGCTCATGACTTACCGTTGAATATTTCCTCTATTTATTGGTTTAAATGTGATGTTGTTATGTATGTTTACTATTGAGTATGGATAGATTGTTTTCTCGAACGCCTTGTGTAATTAAGTGAGGTTGACTCGTGGGTGACGTCACTTAGTTATACGGCGGTTGTACACGCGCTTGGATTGCGGTCTGGGCGTGACATTATGAGCATTAAAACACTTTCGATGAGCATCGGACTTATTAGGAACCCAACAATATATAACAAAGTTATAATTTTTTATAAATAAATCAATAGTATGATTCCTAGATCAAATAAATACTTCAAAAACATGAATTAGTCTTTTAGTATAGTAATAATGAGCAAAAGCAAAGAATAGTTAATATTATAATTACTATTAACAAACAATTGTAGTACGGAGTATGAAAATATGTAGGATAAGAAAGATAAAAGAACGGATTATTTCTACAAGGCGAGATGGTTGGAAGGATGCGTGTTATATCTTAGGTCTAAGGATCGAATCTCCCTAATGGCTTACATTTTGGGCTTTTGAAGTATGGGCCTGCGGTTTAGTAACTCAATTAAATATGGGCTGGATGTACGTACACCCGGTGGTATGATATACGCACTCGTACTATCCCTATAATAATAGCTTATGAAGCTTTGCCCAAAAAAACATTTACCTTTGTGTACTATATACCTATTAAAATTTGGCACGGATTTGTCGATTTTTTTGTGTCAAATAGCTTGTGTCAAAGTGTTTTTGGCATATCCCTGCCAAAATCCTTGTCAATCCCATGTTTAAACATCACATTATATACTTTTATCCGTTTTTTAAATGTTGCAACATTAGGGGTATATTTGGCCCAACTAGCTGAAAAGATGCTTTTAAGAACTTTTTAATAACTATTAGCTTTTAGTGACTGGAAATATTTTAAAAGAGAAAAGTTGCAATTGTTTAATAAAGCGTTGACTGTTTGATTTAGTTATGTTTGGTATAACAAGTTGTTGTGACTATTTAATGGTAAGAGTTGTTGACTTTCCCAGATGCTAACTACTGTTGAATCTCATTTTTTTTTTATTTTGTCAAATGCTCTTACAAATTGTCCGATCAAACATACAACTAGAAGCTTTTAACGACTTTTTAAATAATACAATAGGTAGAAGACATGAACTTATATCTACCAAGCATGCACTAAGATTTTTACACTAATCACACACCTTAATGTGACCATGATTTTCTATTAATATGTATAATCAAATTGTTTGCACTTCAAGAAGTATCGCCACACGGCTATTATATTATTTACGGATTGTTAGGGATATTTTACGGTGTCCTATCTGGTTAAATATCTTTGCATTTTTGTAGCTATTTTGTCTAAATATTTGAGCTCATTGGCACGTTTGTAAGCTAGCATAATAGACTAGCTTTATTAGGAAATGTGTAAAGTGTACTATTGGGCCCAATCAATAAAGGAGCTCAATTCATGCTTAGGTCACATCACCACATTCCCTAGACATATAAATAGTGCCTTTTAGGGAATGTGTAAGGAGATTTTTTTTTACAGATTATTCATGCATACATCATTCTAGTGAGAGAGAGAGAGAGCAGTCTTTGTATTTCTCGATACGTACTCTGTTCAGAAGTTCGAAACATTTATCACTATTGGATCAAAGTTATTCTCTTCTCTACTCTATATCATATTGTTAGTTTGATTGTTGAATATAGGGACAAACACGGATTACTTGGTTTAATTTCCTTGTTATGTTAGACCGTTTTCCCCACTTTTATTTCCTACATCTCTCACTTTCCTTTTCACGTCAAATATAAGATTTTATTTTTAAAAACAATTAAAAATCTTAAACGAGAATTTTATATAGTAATTATAAAATTCTCAGCTATCCGGGATTGACGGCATTGGCTTGACAACCTTTAAACATCCAGAAATAGTAGAAGGTTGACTTCCTTTAAAGCTAGTTTAGGGCTTATTTCGGGGAGGATTTTAGTTGATTGCTTGCACGATCAGAAAGTTGTAAGGTTGTAAGGCTTGGTGGCAGAACTGGTTGATCTGTTCAAACTTCACCACCCTATATGCTAATAATTGGCCGTTTGTAACTTTTTGTTTCTAATTTGGATTATGATTTCTATAACAAGACTCAGAAGATGCTTTTTTGGCTGTGTATACCTCAAAATCCATAGCAATGGGATAGGAATTCTTCGGTGAAAAAGCCACAATTGTTCTTTTCACTGGGGTGGGATTGGGTCAGGTTGGGTCGGGTTTTTGCTAGCAACACTAAAAACGTGAAAAGCTTAGGGTTCTACATTTTTGGGCCCGATCGAAGGACCAATACTTTCAAGCTAGTCCGGATTTTAAGAGTCTCAGATTCAGATTGGGTTTGGGTTGGGTTGAATCCTGAAAAAATCGAACTGAGATATCTAAAAACAATTGAAAAACAATTACAACAAAAATTGCAAATATCTAAACTTCGAATAAAAAATATACGTAGTACGTATATTAAAATCAAAGCAGCATATTTTGAATCTAAAAATCAAAGGACCGAAAATGTTGTAGAAGAACAATTGGTTCGAAAGCAAAGTAATTTTCCCTCCGCCCAAAATTGATTTACAAAGTCCAGATTTTTCGGTCAACCAATGTGAAAGTAAATCCTCCATATTGACACTCAATTCAATTTTTAATAATTAAAATTTACAAATGATAAAAAAATAATAATTAAAATTTACATATTCAAGAATTACATTAAAATCTCTTCAAAGTTGCAAACTCCAAAATAAATATAATTAAGAATTGGCATTCACATTTAGTGAATAAAATGAAATTGTTTGACTAAAAAAGTCAATTTTGCAAATTAATTTGAGATGAATGTAGTATAAAGTAGTCCAAATGTATTATACGAGTATATAAAAGATCGATATGATGTATTAATAGGTCATATACAAAAATAATAATATCAGAAATAATGGCTTACCCTATTGGGTGCCTTAGCCTTGTACTTATAATAAATAGAGTTATGGAAATTACAAAGTAATCTCTAGTTTTGTAATTTTCATAACTCCTTGTTAAGATAATTGGGTAAGCCCAGCCTGGACCGAAAACCCCAATTTGATTAAGAAATTACAAAGTAATCCCTACATAATTTCTTGTTGCTGCTAGATAGCTATGTACGAATCATAGCCTACCACATAAGTCCTAAGAAGAGTCCGATCTCGCTAGAACTCCGCCCAGGCCCTATGTCAACTGTCCAGCTTGACATGGTCGTGGGTTACGGTCGCAGGTTGGATTCCTAATTAGGCCCAAAGACTATTATTCATTATTAATCGTGATTAATGAGCTGATCATATGGATGGGCTGATCCTTCGGTGAGTTTTATTTTATTTTAGTCTTGGGCTTACCATCAACATATAATTAAAAGGTAGATTCTATGGTACCCAAAAGGTACCATATCTTTGTCCAAATGGACCAATGAGAATTTAGCAGTTGAATTATTTAAATGTAAATTAAAAATAATAAAGTGATGTGGTCCAATTAAATGAATGCTAGATACGGTACCCCCATTTTTTAGGAGGGTACCAGAGTTGTCACCCAATTAAAATTAATTTATTATGGGTTACCAACTTTGATGTTCTCAACTCAAAATAGGTATACAAGGATGGCTAAAACAGCAAGGGAAGAACAAATAAGCATCGACAGAGAAGAACAGAGTATCAAGATACAGAAGAAAGATCTGCAAAGCGGCATCGGAAAGACTCTCTATGTGCTTACCTTCCATGAAATACTTGTAGTTAAGGTAAACACAAATTGTTCCAAGATTGACAAAATGGGCAACAATGATATTTGCACTGCAATAGGTCTGCCAAATCTCATAATGGGTATGGTGGCAATCAAGTCTAAGATATTGTTTTTAGGCGGTGAAGAGCTTATTAAAAATGGTAGTCGTCCGCACTTTTGTACAAATAGAAATTATGATGAAATCCTTCCAAGTAATGTCTATGAGCTGAAGCAAGATATCAAGTCCATGACAGTAGGTGCTTCAGAGTTCATCCCAAATCTAAATGAGGGAAAGCTAATGCCCATTGTCCAAAAATTCGGCAGCAAGATATTTGTACTCCAGAGAAAGGCCTATTTCGAGCGAAATGTGCACAACTCATGTACCAAAAAATGCATTTTTGAAGTATATGATTTTTCTACTCCTACCGAAGGGTGGGTTGCTAAATTTACGCCTATCCATGATATTGTTGAATCCTCGGGTGGGTACACAGTGTATACGTACTGTCGAGTAGCGGACAAGTTATACTTGAATGTCGGTTTAGATGCAGAGAATAATTTGGTTTTTGATCTAAAGACGGAGAAATGGTCTATGGATGATTGTTTTTTTTGCTAAGTGGACTTTTCCTTCCCAGTTACGAGTTGGTGTCTCTGTTCCTGGTTTAGATCATGGACAGCATGTCATTCTTGGATTTGAAGACCGTGAGTGGTGTGGCTCCCCACGATTTTATGCTAGGCTTTTCACTCAAGGAAAAGGGTTTTCATGCTATCAAAGTATTGATGACATCTTCTCTTTAGGAGAAGTGGAGTTGTGTTTTATAAGCTGCGAATTTCTTGAGTTGGGGAATGGTGAGTTCTTTGGCATCTTGATATGTCAGAATATAGAATTGGAGGACTACTATCTTGTTGTATCAACATTTTGCCTTGGCGTGATTACTACACCTGCGCCCTCATTTCCTCCTGTAGAGGATCCTTTGGAAACCCATTTCCTTGAGGTTAACCCCAGGAACCAGCAAGTGTTCAAATTGGAATTGCCTCCCCATGGATGCCCCTATATTGAAGGAGCAGCAGTTCTTTAGGTATCTCCTAACTCATTATTTGCATTATTCTCTTTATTCAACATTTATCCTGCTTCGCTTTTTGCTTTTCCTATTTAGAGTTTGTTTGCTCATCTTGTCATAGTATGTACATAGAAAGGGATCATTATCTTCCCAAAACCTTAATAGAATAAGGACTTGAGTTTTCACTCCACTGGCTCTATACTTCTGATAATTCTTGAACCTAAATTCTAGGGATGGCAATCATCACATGTTCTCCCTCTCTTTAAATCTGAGCCAGTAACTCCACTGGATCTTTGATCTTGCAAAATTTTTGTCATCAAATCCTGAATGTATTATGAGTATGAGTAGATATGTAGGCCGGGGTATCATAGAAGTAATTTCAGTTACGCACACCTCAATTTTGACCATAAATGAAGTCACCGATGTGACACGTAAACGCGAAAATCATGGGGAAACGGGAAACTTCAACTTTTGCTCAAAAAACGCTTGTTTGAAGATTTTCGGAAGAGTTTGTAAAGTTTCCAAAACGGAAACATACTCTTTCACGAGAGTTCCCGTGCTACATAGGAATTCACTAATTCAGCGATCATTGAGGTATGAGACTGAATATATATTTATCATTTCGTGGATTCGATATGTTCATGGCACATTGGCATGTAGTTATATTCATACATATAGTTATGTATTTTGCATATATATTGTCTGTTGGAGATTTATTAAGAAATGGAGCTCAAGTGTTTGACACGATTTTGAGATGTTATTTTTATTATTGTCAAGCTTTAATTATTAAATATAATAATAAAGATTATTAGTTATAATTATTATTATGTAAATTATGGTACTAAATAGGTATTTTAGTTAACATAATTTATATAATAATAATTGATTTCAAAAGTGGTCATGCATGTACTCAGTTTTTAATTAAAAATAAATTGTTTTTTAAATAATTAAAGATGCACGTACCTTTTTGACTTCAAAAGGTGTACCTTTGTTTCTATTAATTTTAAATGCACGAAGGGAAAAGTCACGACAGTTACCCGGCTTTTAGAAAACTCATTTCTCAGCGGAGCATCGTGATTTTTCATAAAGGCATGACCATTTAGAAGAGATCTCTATCTAAAATATTATAAATGTGAATGAGGGTTATACCCTTTTAGGAAGAGAAAATTTGTTGGTGTAACTATATGGTTTTATTAGGTTGTAAAATATGTTGGAGTTGTTGTACCATACCTATTTCCTCCGTCATCTCCTTTGCCTCCGTTCCGTTAAATTTCCGTGAGTATCGCTTCCCTATTCGCCTGTTTGACTTCTAGCCTTGTGAGCATCCCAAATGGTACCCGCATTCCTCCGTTACACTGTTAAGCAACCAGTCAGGCGAGGGGACAGGATGAGAATGGCTACTTGGCCGACGCAAGGGGACCCTGAGCGACGGATTCCGCGACGCAACAGGGGTTGCTTCTACGACGGCCAGGCACGCACGCGGTGGCTTCCATGCCAACTTCAGCCATTTGAAGTATGTTAATTTCACTTCATCTACTATTTAATTTCTTCTTCCTAGCTGTTTATTTGTCTATTTTTCCGTTTCCCTAGAACACTCTCACTGCCTGGTTTGTATGTGATAATGTGCAGATCCAGGCTTAAGTTACATTTGAAACTAGAAATCCAGTCTTCTCCGTTGTTACGTTGGGATAAGTGCTATGAATTTTTTAGTTTCAACCAATGGGCCAAATCTGTGTTGAAATGATTATTCATTATCCTTATTGTGTGAAAACGGAACCAATAAGTGAGTATTCATTATCCTTAATTATGTTGAAATGTAAGTTTAATACACAATGATAAGAAAGTATAACTTTGAAGTAGTTGTTCTATGTGCTTTTAGTATAGATGGAGTCGTTTTATGAAGAGAAAGAATAAGGCTAAGTCCTTTATTTAGTTATTCCCTGTGATGCAGTTTGTTTTGATAATTGAAATTGTGTCTCGTTTTGAGTTATTTACAAAATAGTTGTCATTCTTATAAGTAAATGAAGCAGAAAATTAGTATAACAGTGCATATGTTGAATTTTAATTCAAGCACATACCCCCCAGGCTCTAATGAAGGGAAATAAAGTAAAGTCATCTAATTCTTGTGAAAGAATACAAGTAAAAGGTGTCCGTTTATAGAAGTGCTTTGTGCTTTCTTTTCAACTTCGTTCCAGATGACATTGATGTTGAGTTTGTTCTTTCTTTGTTCCTTCATATTTTGTTTCCCCTTGGGTTGTTTTCTTAGGATCAGCTTGACAAGCCACAAACTCAACACATCTAAACATATATATGAGACGATTAATACACAAATACACATAGCTCTCATGTCTTTTGTTTGCATCTGCCTTTTTTTAACTTTCAATGAATCAGCACTCCCCGTGATGAAAACCAAAAGACGAAACCCAAAAGACAAAACTCCGCTTTCCTCTCTAACACCTATAGTATTAAGCAAACCAGTCACCACATTTCCGCCTCCTCAGAATCAGTGATTTACAATAGGACTAAATTCCTAATTTAATTGATTCTATTTTTAGTTTTTACTCGATGCCTTGATATTTCCTACTCATCTTCAGATATCAGCAGGTCCTCCGTATTGGCAGTAATAGAACCGTATGAAAATTGTGTTGGTATAACTCTAAGCAATATAATGCTGTAATTTTTGTCTGTTAATTGTATACCTTAGCGCCCCATTTGTGCACCCTATGATATTTTCTGTCAACCTCTTTCTTTCAGCTCGAATGCCTTTAGTCCATCAATACATGATATACCACCTGATTAATGCTAGATGACATTTCGCTTAGTTCATCGACCGTCTTGCTCGAAGTTACTTAACAATAGCAGAATTGTTTGGCAAGCGACTACTCTCGATCTCCTTTAATCTTCTTCACATCTCCATATGTCCAGCACGTACGTGTAAGTTATTTTGCTTTTTGACAGTGCCACTCTTTCATTTTGTACAATTTTTTTACTTCTCTGACTTATCTATTCATCTGCTAATGTAACCCTAAGGTTGTGCACTTTGTTCAAGGCTTCTTGCTGTTTTATCTGTGCACTTTGTGTAAGCTTTTTTGCTGGTTTAAATCCCTATACCTAAGCAGCATTTTCTTAATAAGCGTTTAAAACCAAGTTGAGTAATTTTGTATCATTGTATGAAAAACAGATGGTATGAATCAGGCATTAAGGACCTCTTCATTTGGATTGGACTTTTCTGGTCTTCCATGTTTTTCAAATTCAAACCCCATGGTAACAAATGAATTATTCATTGATTTGTATTAATTATGGCTTTTTATGCTAGATATCTAAAAAGGTTTGTATTTGATTTTGAGATTTATTTATGCTTGAATATTAATTACTTTTATATTCTAAAATGATCTGCCTATTAATACTCTGAAGTCTGAAGATGCTAAATATAGTTCCTCTATTGCCGTAAACACGCCTTTTTTACCATGATCAATTTAATGTTTCTTGCCTTTCTTCTTTCTCTGGCGTCATTATGTAAACAGACAAGGACATCCAGAATCTCATTCTTGCACTAGGACTTGAATTACAGTTATTCATTTATTCTATATTTATTCCAGTTTTTCCAGGGTTCTTTCCTTTCACTTCAGGACTTGTTCCAGTTTTTCAGAATTCCTTTTTTCCATCTGAATGAGGGGATTTTAAAGAAGAAACTTTGGGTTAGATCTGCATTTAGAACAAACTCAATATAAACCAGATATACATATATACTCTTTTTATGCTTGTACTTATAATCCAGATATGTTTTATCGCATATGTTCATAACATATAATGAACTTATACTAATTTAGAGTCCCGATCCTGTCAGGCCGGCCTGACGGGATCCGCCTTCAAGCCAAGGCCATTTGGGGACCTTCCCGGTGGAATTTTTTGATGAATTGTTTTGAGCATGTTCCTCATCAACTGCGCAGTTTATATATATAAGCACAGTTTTAGTAGGGAATTTTTTTGACTGCCTTTCCGATTGAATTTTTAGGTGGAATTTGGTATGAACAAACTGAACTTGATGAGGAACATGCTCAAAAAAATTCATCAAACAATTCCACAGGGAAGGTCCCCAAATGGCCTCGGCCTGACGGCGGTTCCCGTCAGGCCGGCCTGATACGATCAGTCCTCTACTAATTTAAGTTGCTTTTTTAGAATTGAACTTGATTTCATTTTTACTCCAATAAGATTTGCCAAATGCAGAGAATATGCAGTTTCTAGCTGCTTGCCACTTACAGAGGCAATTTTTTATGATTGCATAGCTATATTATGTGACCTTCTGTTCAAGTAAAATAGATCTAGACATATTGAACTAAGAACAATAATAATAGTATGATTCAAAGACAAAATTGTAATTGTGGTGTCTATGCAAGATTTGGGTGAGTGGCATATTTCTCAATTAGACTATATATACTTTTATATTGCATGCTTGTGTGTATATATATATATATATATATATATATATATATATATATTTTGTTTTTTGTGTTTAAACAGGTATATGGTGAGGATCGGTCTAGAACTCACCCGAAGGACAAGTAGTATGCTTGTGTGTAAATATTGAATAACAAAAAAAGTAAAGCCAATAAAGACTAAGAAGAATGGCTAAAGACCTAATTTATTCATATACTACTATTCAAGTTCTATTGTAAAATTAGCGCAACAAAAAAATCTCATCCCTAATGCTTTACCAAATGGATCTTATTGTCATACTTTTCAGGTAATTTATTTAATAGGCATTGCTATATATTTCGTTTTGTATATGTCAGTTTCATCTAAAATATATTATTGATGTTATTGTCATACTTTTCTATGTCTCATATAATTGTTATCCTAATTTTTTCGCATGACTTCATCCTACATATTCAAAGAAGTCATTTTTTATTTTACACAAATACTATTGGGCATTAATCTCATCGCGCAACGCGCGTCGAATTAACTAGTACTCTTTAAAAGGAGAAAGAGGGATGTTGGGTGGAACATACGAACGTACAAAAATAAACACTTGCTCTCTTGCTTTGCCATATTGTATTACTATTAACTGCAGTAATAGTAATAAAATACTTAGACTACTTTATATACAAATCACTTGTTCGGTGTTATTTTATCGGTAACTAAAATACACCATACACCTTCTTTTTATCCCAAAAGTTCTATCTTGTAACCAGTGGCGGACCCAGAAAAACATAACTACGAGGTCCCTACTATAACATTTTTAAATTAATTAAACAAAGTAAAATATTAGAGAAGCATAATTTAACTTTAGGATAATGTAAAGTAAAAATTTAAATATACAAGATAAATCATGACCGCGAGATTGAAACTGCCCTCTTTGAAGGTAACTACGACGTGCCTCGTCTTGAAAATTAGAATGATAATTCAGCAATTTTGCTCAATATATGATCTAACTTCCAAAGATTCAAAATCAACATGTTTTTCATGTAGATAATAAGTCAAATTAGTTTCACTTTCAACAATTACTTAATTCAATTCTTCATTTACTAGTGACAAATCATTTTAATTAACATTTGAAATACTTCCGGTACTCCAAATTTCTTAGAATATGAATACACTACCGAAATATCTTTGCACATTAAGTCGTAAAATATTGAAAAAACATTCATAAATACGTAAATTTATTGATTTGATCTTAACGTTTAAAGAAATTTTAATAATTAAGCTTAAAAATGAATTTTGAAAAGGTGAAAGGGTAAACAAAAAAAGCTAGGCAAGTGGGCAGGCAAACAGAGCGGAGATCTGTTTGGTCTGAAATGGGAGAGGCAGTGGCGATCGATGATGTGGTCTATTAGAAAAATCCTAGAAAGGATAAAAAAAATGATTGAGGAGGGGAATCGAACCCCATACATCAGGGTGAAGAAAGGTTTTGAAAGCACGCACACTACCGTTCCGCAGCTCCAATCTTTAAGTTGAACTCTAGCTTTTATTGTTAATATAACTTATTAATTAATTTTATAAGAAATATATATAATATATATAGGTACTTTTGGAAGTTCACGGGGTCCCGGGACCCCGTGGGACCCTTAGTGGGTCCGCCACTGCTTGTAACTCGGTTACTGTGATAAGGGTAGATAGTAAACTTTTAGGAAAACGTATTTCATACGTGACTAGAAGTGATATCCGGTTCAGCCATATTTCACACCCTTATATTTCACTATTTTCATCCTCCCGTTCTAACAATCTAAAAGTTTACTAATCTGAAAGTATGGCCGCTACTCAACGTGATATCATCAACACCAATTTTCAAAAATTGGAAAAATTTGAAGGTGTGGAGTTTCGAAGGTGGCAGAAAAAGATGCATTTTCTGCTCACCACTTTGAAAGTGGTCTATGTGTTAAGCACCCCGAGGCCGCCCGAGGAAGATGAAAATGAGACTTTGGAAACAAGCCGCCGCCGCATAAAGTGGGACAATGATGACTATATCTGTCGTGGACATATTTTGAATGGTATGTGCGATTCTCTTTTTGAGTCTAAGTACATGACCGAGGATATATGCTTCTAGTAGGAAATTTCTCATTAGTAACTTTAATAGTTTCAAAATGGTGGACTCCCGTTCGGTCATGGAGCAATTTCATGAAATTCAACGTGTATATGATCAACTTTTGATACACAACATGCATGTCAATGAAACCTTTGTTGTCGGTTCTATAATCGACAAATTACCCCCTTCATGGAAGGAAGTGAAAAATAGCCTCAAACGCAAAAAGGAGGATTTGTCAATGGAGCAACTTGGTCGCCGACTTCAAATTGAAGAAGGCATTAAGTTGCGTGAAGGTGACAATGGTAAAAAGAGCGACCTTCCAATTTCCTCTATAAATGTTATGGAGGAGGGACATTCAAGTGGGACTAAGAAATATAAAAAACGTCCCGGGAAATTCACCAAAGGTTCCAAGTTTCAAAAGAAGCCAAAAAATAAGAAAGTAGGCTCTTGTTGGAAATGTGGCGGTCCACACTTCAAGAGGGACTGCCCGAAGGTGAAGAAGAAGGCCCAACCGAACGGCCATCCTAACGGTGGCCAAGACAACCAAGGTCAGAATATTTTTGTAGTTACAAATGATGATGATGATGATAACAACATGATTTTTGTAGCTATGCTTTCTGAAATTTGTGTTGTGCACGATGATGAATCTTGATAGATCGACACCGGAGCGACAAGGCATGTATGCAAAGATAGGCAAGCCTTTAAGACTCTAAAAGAGTTGGAAGAAGGGCCGATCTTATACATGGGAAATGATTCTACTGTGCAAATTCAAGGAATTGGCCAAGTAGAGTTGGAATTAACTTCCGGAAAGAAATTAATTCTTAATGATGTGTACTTTGTACCACAAATCCGGAAAAATCTTGTCTCCGGTGGCATCCTAAATAACTTTGGGTTTAAACTTAGCTTTGAAGCAAATAAGTTTATTTTATCTAAGGGTGGTGTATTTGTAGGCCAAGGTTTCTTTTGTAATGGCATGTTCAAACTAAGTGTTGTAAATAAAGTGATTAATTCCGTTTATATGGTTTGTGATTCATCTTTGTGGCACAATAGGTTATGTCATGTTAATTATCGTAGATTAAGTGACATGTCTAAAGTAGGATTAATTCCTCCTTTTAATATTAACATAGAAAAATGTAGAACTTGCATGTTAAATAAAATCACTAGAAATTCTTTTCAAAATGTTGAAAGAAAATCCAACATGCTTGAATTAGTGCATAGTGATTTGTGTGATTTCCATGGCACTCCGTCTTTTGGAAATAAAAAATATGTAGTCACATTTATTGATGATTGCACAAGATATTGTTATATATATCTTTTATTTTCAAAAGATGAGGCAATAGATAAATTTAAAGTTTTTAAAACGGAAGTTGAGTTACAAACCGGAAATAAAGTAAAAAGGCTTAGAACTGACAAAGGAGGAGAATATTATGAGCCTACATTTTTTGAATCCGTTGGAATAATCCATGAAACAACAACCCCTTACACGCCGCAACAAAACGGCATTGCTGAAAGAAAGAATAGAACTTTAAAAGAAATGGTTAATTCCATGTTGTCTAATTCGGGCTTAAGTAATGGATTTTGGGGTGATGCTATGTTAACTGCTTGTTATATTCTTAATAGAGTGCCTAACAAGAAAAATAAGATTACCCCATACGAACTTTGGCACAAAAGAACACCCTAACTAATATATCTTAGGGTATGGGGTTGTAGGGAAATCGTGAGATTACCGGAACCTAAAAGAAAAACGTTAGGTGAAAAGGGGGTAGAGTGATATTTATTGGATATGCTGAACATAGTAAATCTTATCGATTCTATGTTATTGAACCGAATGACTCAATTGCGGTTCACACTGTTATTGAGTCTAGGGACGCTCTTTTTGATGAGAAGCGGTTCACTTCTATTCCTATGCCTAAGGATGTTGATCCTGGTTCAATTAATTCACGCTTATATGAACTGGAAAAGGATCATGAAAATGAGCCTGAAATAAGACGGAGTAAGAGGGCTAGAAAAGAAAAGTCATTTGGTCCCGATTTTCAATTGTATTTGGTTGAGGGATCAAGAGAGACCCTTGAAACTCAAACACTATATTGTTATAGTGTTGAGGAGGATCCTAACTCTTTTGAAGAGGCAATGAAATCTCAAAATGCTTCCTTCTGGAAAGAGGCCGTAAATGATGAAATGGATTCAATCATGGGCAATAATACTTGGGTTCTAAGTGATTTACCACCCGGTTGCACACCAATCGGTTGTAAATGGATTTTCAAGAAGAAAATGAAAATTGACGGTACCATTAACAAGTTTAAAGCTAGATTGGTTGCACAAGGCTTTAAACAAAAACATGGTATTGATTACTTTGACACATATGCACCAGTAGCTAGAATAACTACCATAAGATTGTTAATTGCTTTATAGGCTATTCACAATCTTGTAATTCACCAAATGGATGTAAAAACTGCATTCTTAAATGGTGAATTGGAGGAGGAGGTGTATATGAAACAACCCGAAGGGTTTGTTGTTAAAGGACAAGAAAAGAAAGTTTGTAAACTTGTCAAGTCCTTGTATGGTCTGAAACAAGCACCTAAACAATGGCATCAAAGATTTGATGAGGTGGTGCTGAAAAATGGTTTTAAAATAAACCAATCAGACAAGTGCGTATATAGCAAATTTAATGAGCATGGAAATGGTGTCATTATTTGTCTATATGTGGATGATATGCTCATATTTGGCACTGATTTGAGGCAAGTGAAAGAAACAAAAGCTTTCCTCTGTTCAAACTTCTCCATGAAAGATATGGGTGAAGCGGAAGTTATCCTTGGAATTAGGATAATTAAACAAGGTGATACTATCACCTTAACACAATCTCACTATGTAGAGAAAGTGTTGAAAAGATTTGGGAGTTTGGATTGTTCACCAGTTTCCACTCCCATGGATCCTAGTTGGAAATTAGTTCCAAATAGTGGGAAGGCTGTATCACAGCTTGAATATGCTAGGGTGATTGGGTGTTTGATGTACGCAATGACTAGCACCCGGCCAGATATTGCATTTGCGGTAGGAAAGCTAAGTAGATATACTAGTAATCCTAGTATATTTCATTGGCAAGCCTTGAAGCGAGTGCTGAAATATCTAAAGAAAACAATGACCTTCGGCTTATGTTATAAGAGTGAACCCTCTATATTAGAAGGTTACAAGGATGCAAGTTGGATAACTAATCAAGAGGATTATTCATCCACAAGTGGATGGTTATTCCTTCTTGGAGGAGGTGCTATATCATGGGCATCTAAGAAACAAACTTGTATCACAGACTCTACCATGGCTTCAGAGTTTATAGCTTTAGCACCAGCTTGTAAAGAAGCGGAATGGCTAAAGGATTTGGTGTTAGAAGTACCGATATGGCCTAAACCTATGGCACCGATATCAATCCATTGTGATAGTGCATCAACTCTGTCGAAAGCTTATAACCATGTGTACAATGGTAAGTCAAGGCACATAGGAGTGAGACACAGCTATGTGCAGGAACTTATTAGTTCTGGAGTTATTGTGATTGATTTTGTACGATCACATGTGAATTTGGCGGATCCTTTTACAAAGGCGATGCCAAGGGACATGGTGTACAAAACTGCAAAAGGGATGGGGTTAAAGCCCTTGGAACATAATCACAAGTGAAAGAAAGCGCAACTCAACGTCTAGTACAACGCTAGATCTTGAGTTCAATGATGATGAGTAAGTCACTCCGTGATTGAAGCACTTTTGAATAATGACCATCCCGAGGTAAGTGCTTGAGTCTGCAATGTGTGATGAGGTTGACTATGTCTTAATAGATCTTTTGATAAAGTGTTTTATTGCAGAACACGGATTTTAAAGATCTACCTATGTGAGCTAGAATGCCGGCTGATTCACCAAGTTTAAGGCTTTACTTGTTGGAGCTCATGAATGGATATGGACACAAGGCCGTTAATAGTGTCAAGTTTCTAAGTGAAATTGTATAGAGACTTATGTGTGTAATATCTTCAATATTTCAAAGTGGTTATATAGTTCAAAACTTAGTCTACTATTATGATCCGAAATATTGTAAAGAATATTGCACTAAATGAAAGTTCAATCGTTATGACACTTTCAATTAAGCATAAGTCTTGATAAGTAGTCTATTTGGCAAAGGAGCAAGCAAGATTTATTTCTCAATAAATGGAGGAGGATTGTTGGAGATTTATTAAGAAATGGAGCTCAAGTGTTTGACACGATTTTGAGATGTTATTTTAATAATTATTGTCAAGCTTTAATTATTAAATATAATAATAAAGATTATTAGTTATAATTATTATTATGTAAATTATGGTACTAAATAAGTATTTTAGTTAACATAATTTATATAATAATAATTGATTTCAAAAGTGGTCATGCATGTACTCAGTTTTTAATTAAAAATAAATTGTTTTTTAAATAATTAAAGATGCACATACCTTTTTGACTTCAAAAGGTGTACGTGTGTTTCTATTAATTTTAAATGGACGAAGGGAAAAGTCACGACAGTTACCCGGCTTTTAGAAAACTCATTTCTCAGCGGAGCATCGTGATTTTTCATAAAGGGATGACCATTTAGAAGAGATCTCTATACTCTTAAAGGAGAAAGAGGGATGTTGGGCGGAACATACGAACGTACAAAAATAAACACTTGCTCTCTTGCTTTGCCATATTGTATTACTATTAACTGCAGTAATAGTAATAGAATACTTAGACTACTTTATATACAAATCACTTGTTCGGTGTTATTTTATCGGTAACTAAAATACATCATACACCTTTTTATCCCAAAAGTTCTATCTTGTAACCCGGTTACTTTGATAAGGGTAGATAGTAAACTTTTAGGAAAACGTATTTAATACGTGACTAGAAGTGATATCCGGTTCAGCCATATTTCACACCCTTATATTTCACTATTTTCATCCTCCTGTTCTAACATTGTCTCAATAGCAGCTGTCATTCCGCTATCGACTATACTGTTGGGAATAACAGGATCGTGCTAATATGAGAGAAAAACACTTCTATTACTTTCAAGAATAGAAAGAAGAGACATACAAGCTCTAACTAAAAACTCTCAAAACAACACCTCACATATCTCTCAAGGATATTCACAACTCAAACTTGGTTGTGGTATTCTAATCTATGATCTAAATTGCTTGATGATAGAAAGACTCTCCAAGCTCTCTATTTATAGTACCAAAACAAGATAGTATGAAGGTGGGAGGAAGATGTGTTGAAGCTAGGAGGAAGCTTCAATGGAACATGAGGAAGCTTCAATGGTGGTTGAGGAAGCTCCCCTTGTCATTCTTGCACATGGAGGAAGCTTCATGGAAGCTATGAATTGGATTCTTCAATTTGCTTGTACTTGGATATGACCTGGAAATTGAATTCTTCAATTCTCCCCTTCCAGGTATATTCAAAACAAGCATCCCGACTATGTCTCTGCACAGCTCTAGCTTATCCCGTGTCACCACCTTCGTCAGCATGTCTGATGGATTCTCCTTTGTATTGATCTTCACTAGTCTCAACAGTTGTTGATCAATCGTCTCCCGTATCCAGTGATACCGAATGTCAATATGCTTTGTACGAGAATGGTACATGGAGTTCTTGCTCAAGTCTAGAGCACTCTGACTGTCACAATGTACCTTATACTCTTTCTGATGGATCCCAAGTTCTTGGAGAAAACGCTTTAGCCACAACATTTCCTTACCTGCTTCAGCGGCAGCAATGTATTCTGCTTCTGTTGTAGATAAAGCGACACACTTCTGCAATCTTGATTGCCAAGAAACGGCTCCCCCTGCAAAAGTGTAGATATATCCTGAAGTAGACTTTCTACTATCAGTATCTCCTGCCATATCAGCATCTGTGTAGCCTTCCAAGACTGGATCAGCTCCTCCGTAACAAAGACATAACTTCGTGGTACCTTTCAAGTACCTGAGAATCCATTTGACTGCCTCCCAATGCTCCTTCCCGGGGTTAGAGAGAAAACGACTCACTGTACCCACTGCCTGTGCGATGTCTGGCCTTGTGCATACCATGGCGTACATCAAACTCCCAACTGCTGAAGAATATGGAACTGCTGACATCTCCCCGATCTCTTCCTTGGATGTAGGGCATGTTCTTTTGCTCAACTTGAAGTGATTCGCAAGTGGAACACTTACTGGCTTGGCATCATTCATGTTGAATCTCTCAAGTACTCGTTCAATGTACTTCTCCTGAGATAGCCATAACTTGCGATTCTTCCTGTCTCGAGTGATCTGCATCCCAAGAATCTGTTGAGCCGGTCCTAAGTCTTTCATATCAAAAGACTTAGAGAGTTCTTTCTTCAGTTGGTTTATCTTCACTGCATCTTTCCCAACGATCAACATGTCGTCTACATATAGTAGAAGAGCAATGAAGGTACCGTCTGGAAGTTTCTTGATGTATACACACTCATCTGCAGTAGTCTTCTTGTAGCCTTGACTCTTCATGCATGAGTCAAACTTCTTATTCCACTGCCTTGGTGCCTGCTTCAAGCCATACAAACTCTTAGATAATTTACACACAAAATTATCATTTGAGTTCTCAAAACCTTCCGGCTGGTGCATATAGATTTCTTCTTTCAAATCTCCGTGAAGAAATGCTGTCTTCACATCCATCTGTTCAAGCTCCAAGTTCATACTTGCTGCTAAGCCAAGTATAATTCGGATCGAGGTCATCTTGACAACTGGTGCAAAGATCTCATCAAAGTCAATTCCTTTCTTCTGCTGGAACCCTTTGACAACCAACCGAGCTTTGTGTTTCACCACTTGTCCGTTTGCATCCTTCTTCAGCTTGAACACCCATTTGTTCCTCAGTGCCTTCTTCCCTTTAGGAAGTTCTACGATCTCATAAGTTTGATTTTTCTGCAGAGATTCTAACTCATCCTGCATTGCTATTAGCCATTTTTCTTTATCCTTATGAGATACAGCTTCTTGAAAACTCTCTGGTTCTCCATCTTCAGTTAACAAAAGATATTCAGATGATGTGTACCTTGTCGATGGTATATGCCCTCGTTCAGATCTACGAACAGTAGGAACCATCTGAGAAGAGCTACCATCATCTGTGTCTGATGGGGTGGATTGTGTCTCCCCTTGCCCTGCACTCTCTTCTGTCTCCTCGTCTTCTTCTGCTTCAGAGTTATCTTCATGCAATTTGTCCTCTTCTGGTACTTCATTTGAAACTTGAACACCCTCATTTGACTTCCGAGACATTGTGGGTTTTTCAATGTCTTCTATTGTCAAATCTTCGTGGAACATAACATCCCTACTTCTGAACACCTTTTTCTCCTTAGGATCCCATAGCCTGTATCCAAACTCTTCATTTCCATAGCCAACGAAAATGCATGAGATAGTTCTTGCATCGAGCTTCTGCCTGAGCTCTTTGGATACATGTGCATACGATGAACAACCAAATACTCTAAGATGTGAGTATGTAGGATCCTTACCTGTCCATAGTCTCTCTGGAACTTCAAAGTTCAGTGGTACTGAAGGTGATCGGTTGATAAGATAGCATGCTGTGTTGACTGCTTCTCCCCAGAATGACTTCGGAAGTTTAGCCATATTCAGCATGCTCCGAACACGCTCCATGATAGTCCGGTTCATTCTTTCAGCAACGCCGTTGTGCTGAGGGGTGCGTGGTACTGTCTTCTCATGTCGAATGCCATATTCTCTACAATATGCATCGAATGCCTTGGAAGTATACTCGCCTCCATTATCTGATCGAAGACATTTCAGCTTCTTTCCCGTTTCACGTTCCACCAAGACGTGAAATGTCTTGAAGTACTCAAATACCTGATCCTTCGTAATAAGGAAATACACCCACACTTTCCGAGAAGCATCATCGATAAAAGTCAGAAAAAATCTGCTTCCACCGATTGATTCCACCTCAAAAGGACCACAGACATCGGAGTGTACCAAACTTAACAACTCCGATCTTTTAGTTGAAGTAGAATTAAATGATACTCTGTGTTGCTTACCAAACAGACAATGACTGCAAGGACTCAGTGCAGCGTTCTTGTCGATGTTGATAAGGTTCTTCTTCATCAAGGTAGTCAACCCTTTCTCACCGATGTGGCCGAGCCTCAGATGCCACAGATTCTGAGTAATCTCCTCAGCAATATTGAGGCTATCTGTACAAATCCTCAAATGAGTTTTGTACAATGTGCCACAAACATGTCCTCGAGCGATTGTCAAAACGCCCTTTGACATTTTCCAGGTGCCCCTGTTAAAGTGGTTTTCATATCCCTATTCGTCAAGACATACCACTGACAGGAGATTGAGACGAAGGTCTGGAACATGTCTGACATCCTTCAAAATGATTGTGCTCCCAGAACTCGTCTTTATTTGTACATCACCAATTCCAGCTATTCCAGAGGAACTGGAATTGCCCATCTTCACTGCTCCAAAGTCTCCAGCTTTGTAAGTTGTGAAGTAGTACCTGTGGGGAGTAACATGGTAGGATGCTGCAGTATCTACCACCCATTCAGTGCCCTCTCTTGAGACGTGAAGGCATGTTTCATCATTGGCAGTACAATACGCCACATCACCTGAGATTGTGATGAGCGCTTCACCACCCTTGTTCTTCGCTTGAGAATTGCTCTTGCCTCGCTCCTCTCGCAATTTGTAGCAATTCTTCTTCATGTGACCCTCTATACCGCAATGGTGGCAGGTATAAGAAGGTTTTCGGCCATCTGATGATCTCCCCCGACTTTTGCCCCTGCTTTTCCATTTCCCTCTACTGTTTCTTTGTTGTTTTCCTTGTGATCTTCCTCTATTCTCTGTCACAAGGACATGAGTCTCATCTGTGCTCATGTCTTTCCTTCTTGCCTCCTCATTGAACAGTGCATCCTTGACCACAGACATGGTAAGTTTGCCATCTGGGGCTGAGTTGCTGAGAGTAACAACTAGTGTCTCCCAACTATCAGGAAGGGAACTAAGAAGCAGTAGAGATTGCATTTCATCTCCAAGTGGCATTTCTACACAAGATAGTTGATTTACCAGACTCTGAAATTGACTAGTATGTTCGGCAACAGAAATTCCAATTTTGAGCTTCATATTGACAAGACGCCTCATCAGTAGGGCCTTGTTCCTAGCGGTCTTGGCCTGGTACATATCTAACTTTTTCCAAAGGGCATAAGCATCGGTTTCTTGTGCAACATGGTGGAAGACACTATGGTCAATCCATTGTCGGATTTGACCAATAGTTTTTCTAATAATTTTCTTCCACTCCGTTGACTTGGCCGGATCAGAATTAATACCTTTCATCTCTATTGGATCAAAAAGGTCTTTACAACTAAGGAAATCTTCCATCCGAGGTTTCCATAGCGTGTAGTTGGTAGCCGTGAGCATAATCATAGCTCCGGAAGATGAAGTTGACTCGTCAAAGGTCATTTTCACCTTCTAAATAATTTTGATTTTCTGTTTCAGAAAAATCGGAGCAGAATTTTGAAAAACGGGCAGCACCGTTGCGTCCGGAACGGCCGAAAGTGGTGGGTAGGCACTTTCGGGGTCAAAATACAATTTTCGAAAAATTATAGGTGGAAATTATAATTTTCCAAAAATTGAGGGACCAAACTGCAAATTTTCAAAATTACAAACTGACCGGTGACGTGGCAGATGACGTGGCAGTGACGTGGCGGTTACTGGGCGATGACGTGGCAGCTGACTGGGCGCTGGTGAAAGTTGGCAGTTGACTGGTGACGTGGCGGCTGACTGTGCTGGGACTGCACATGTGGCGCTGACGTGTCGCTGACGCAGCTCCGGCTGGCTGATGACGTCAGCGATGACATCAGCTGTCTTCAACCTCTGTCTGCGCGCGATGACGTCAGCATGACGCAGACAGTTTTTGGCCAGCGTTTGGCGGCGCGTACGGCAGCTTCCGGTGGCCAAAAAAATCCCCAAAAATACCAGTTTTCTCGTCTCGACGAGACGAATCCAACGGTATATTCAGATTGCAATTCCGAGCAATACTGAAAAACTCGATTTTCAGACAATAGAATTTTATGTGAAAAAATCTGGGAAAAGTATCAAAAGCTCAACCAGGCTCTGATACCACTTGTTGGGAATAACAGGATCGTGCTAATATGAGAGAAAAACACTTCTATTACTTTCAAGAATAGAAAGAAGAGACATACAAGCTCTAACTAAAAACTCTCAAAACAACACCTCACATATCTCTCAAGGATATTCACAACTCAAACTTGGTTGTGGTATTCTAATCTATGATCTAAATTGCTTGATGATAGAAAGACTCTCCAAGCTCTCTATTTATAGTACCAAAACAAGATAGTATGAAGGTGGGAGGAAGATGTGTTGAAGCTAGGAGGAAGCTTCAATGGAACATGAGGAAGCTTCAATGGTGGTTGAGGAAGCTCCCCTTGTCATTCTTGCACATGGAGGAAGCTTCATGGAAGCTATGAATTGAATTCTTCATATACCACCCGTGATAGCGTTTTCATGGTTGGCCGCAAGGCTCCGATATCCAGGATTGACGGCACTGGCTCGACAACCTTATCACATCCAGCAGTAGTGGAAGGTTAACTTCCTTTAAAGCTAGTTTAGGACTTATTTCCGGGAAGATTTTAGTTGATTGCTTGCAAAATCAGAAAGTTGTCATGCTTGGGTGGCAGAACTGGTTGATCTGTTCAAACTTCTCCACCTTGTATGCTAATGATTGGCCGTTTGTATCTTTGTGTTTCTAATTTGGATTATGACTTCTATAACAACAATCAAAAGATGCTTTCTTTTTTGGTTGTGTATACCTCAAAATCCACAGCAGTTGGATAGGAGTGGGCTGTTCATGTTTTTTGATGACATGGAAATATGTAAACTGGAGTTTCTATGTCACAAGTGGACACTCCTCCAACTACCACATTCAAAAGTCTAAAACATTTCAACATACTTCCATGAGTTAAAACCCCAACATCATTGATGAATGGTTGCACTACAAAAAAACAGCGTTATAGTCACGGATTTTAGTCACGGATTTGGTCCGTGACTAGTTTAGTCACGGTCTAGTCACGGAAATTTTTAAAAAAAAAATAGTCACGGTCTGGACCGTGACTATGGCCGTGACTACAATTAGTCACGGTCATGGCCCGTGACTTAAGTCCTCCGATAGGCCCGTTTCCGTTTCCGGCGAAGTTTATTTGATTCCGACGACTTAGTCACGGCCAAATCCGTGATTATACCCGTGACTATAATTAAAATTTAATTTTTTCAACTCCCTTAACTTAATTCGCAACGGCATTATGTACGGATAATTTTAGTCACGGTCATATCCGTGACTATAGCCGTGACTACTTTGATTAACACGTCATTTACACGTCATTAACACGTTTTGGACGCGTATTGGACACGGTTTTGCTTAGTGACGGACAAATCCGTGACTAAGTCCGTGACTACATTTTTTATATATGCAGGAGCAGCTCATTGAACAGAACCACACCAATTCATTCCCAGTATATACAGTATCCGTTTGAAAGATCGAAGGATGTAGTCTATCTTCTATCATTTTCTCTGTTTATGCAGATAAGGTATGTTATTTGAATTATAATTTTTATTTAGAATTAGTTGGTTCAATTTAAATTATTAAAACTATTAAATTAGTGAGGTTGTTAATTAATTAACAACATGTTTTAACTATAAGCGTAGTAATGTCATAAATTAGAATTAGTTAAACTTTTAGGTTTATAAAATAATTTAATTAAAATTAGTTAGCTAAATGATGTTTATGTTAAGTGAAATTAGTTCAAATAACGTACTTTAGTAATGTGTTAATTAAGTGAATTGTGAATTGTTATTGTGAATTGTGTATTGCTTATTAATTCAAATGACTTTATATACATGTTCTAATTATTGGGTTGAATTTGGTCATATTATTTAATTTAGTGAATTACTAATAAGATTAAATGTCATTAACGTTATAATTTAGTGTAGGTTTAAACGTAGGTTTACAAAAATAATTTAATTCAAATTTGTTTGCTAAACGTAGGTTAAGTTTGAACGTAGCTATTGATGTGTTAATTAAATTAAATTAGTTAGCTAAACGTAGGTTTATACGTAGTGATGCATTAAAAGGGGACGGAATGAACTAGTTAAATTTAGTTAAATTTAACTAAATGAATTAGTTAAATTTAATTAAACGTATGTTTAATTTAGTGAAATTATGTGCATTATTGTGCATTAGGGGACGTATATTTTGTGCATTATTGTTGTGAATTCTGTGCATTTCATTTAATTTAGTGAAAATTAGTTGCTTATATTTAGTGAAATAAATTACTTAAAATTGTGTGCATTGCATTTCATATAATTTTTTATTATAATATTCAGGCATAATGTATAAACAAAATAGAAGTTGGATGTATGATAAAGATGCGGTATTGTACGGAATGCAATCAAATTTTCTCGAGGGAGTCGGAGAATTTATTGAATTTGCACTTGAACATCCGGCTTATATGAGTGGTGATAAAATAAGATGTCCATGTTCAAAGTGTAAAAATCTCAAATTTAAAGACCCACACGAAGTTGGGTATGATTTGTACGCAGTCGGTTTTGTTCCCAATTATTATAATTGGACTGCTGTCCGTGACTAAGTCCGTGACTACAGGCGTGTTTTTTTGTAGTGTTGGAATTCTCTAAATGTTTTAGATGAATGAATCTTAGCCATTCATCACGCCAACGTGCTCCTTAGTGAACATTCTTGCATGCTTCATAAATCTACTCCCTTTAGATTAGCTTTCCCACATTTATATGTTATTAGTAAGTCAATTAACTCTGAAAATAGGCTGCACTTGGTACTAATTTCTCAGCTGCTATGAAGAAGAAGACGAAGAAGGTGGACCGGAGGGCCTGATCTCCAATAGGTTTCCATTCCAGGAAGCATTACACCACTTAGAGGGATATAAATTGGGCTTGTATGAATCATTTTTCCTTTCTCCTTATTATTAGTATACACTCTCTTTGGATCAATGCCTAACATGTCTATCTTCTCTCATTCTTTTGAGTGGCGTAGGAATGAAAAGAATGCTTGTTTGATTCTTATTGAGTGCATATTCTGATTGATTAGAGATTCCTTATTTTTTTTCTAAATATTGAAATAGAATGGCTATGAATATGGCGAGTGCTGTGTTGATTTGGAATCAAATCGAAGTGGGAAAAACAAAAACTGACATGAAATTTTGGTTCTTATAATCCTCAAAACGGGATTGAATATCATAACTATCAAGTGTGATGTAGAAATGTGAGCAAGCTTGTTAATAAGCCTGCTTCTTAAGTGAGAAGCATAAAGATTATTGTAAGTAGGTATTGGCCCCCCTCCTTGACCCTTTGACCCACTCCATTTAATGTCTTGGTCTCCTATTAAATGTTTCTGGCCCATTTGGGCTGGCAGCCTGACTTAGCCCATTCGCCCACTCTTGTTTATTTCTGGCCCGTGACTCTTGGTGGCCCTCTCTTATATTGTCTGGTTCCTTCTGGAACCGCCTATTTCTTCGTCCCTTCTTCTCTCTAACCGATGAGAAGTCGATTGAGTTGCCCCTTTCCTAGAGTGAGAGAGTGCCGGTTTACCGATGGGTCTGAGCTCTGGCTACCTTCGGTAATACCTTGGGAATCCTGTTGGGGTCTTCACCTAGGTCTGGTTGGTTGGGGGGGTTCTCTTCTCCGGTGGGTCGTTACTGGGTAGTCAGGCTGGGTGGTTTGATTTCCTAGACTGAGGGTTGCTGGCTTGATGCCCTTTTGATCTTCCTTGAGTTCCTCCTTGGTGGTGAATGGTGAGCAAGCCTTTGGGCTATGGTGATTGAGGTCTGAGCCGGTCCAGATTCCTTACAGTGGTATCAGAGCGTTGGAAGCTGCCTCCTCTCGCCGGACGTCGGAGAACTCACCGGAAGTACTTCCCCAACCCTGGTAACGTTTCGGCTTCCCATCCCAATTGGTAAGTCGGGCTGTCTGATCTAGACTCCCGCTCAGGTATAAACTTGAACTGTTCCTCTGGGCTGCCGGAGTGCCACCGGCATCTGTGTTGCATGGGTGGATCTGTAACCCTAGGTTACTGACCTGCCGGTTAGAAACCCTAGAGCCTTGATTGTATGTACAGAGTCTGTCTAAACAGATCTGTAGAAAACCCTAGGTCTGTATATTTGTGTATGGATGGTACCAATCTGTGTCGAACTTGGTCCATCATTATCTCTGTGATTACTTGAGTAAACTTGTGTCCTATTGACTCTTCTGTGTGAACTGTGGTCTGTTAAATCCTATTTGTCGCTTGACCTTTATCTGTTTCCAGTATATTTTTTCGGGTTACCTGCGTATTTGTTGTTTCTGATCCTGAGTAATACTGTGGCTGTAAAACCCTGGTTGGGTTAGGCACTTGAGGTTAGGGCTAGGGGATTCCCTGCCAGCCACCTCAGTGGCCTCGGATCTGCGTGGTCCCTTAGTCCGCAGCCTAACAAGCTAGGGCTAAGCCTTGCATTACTGAAGGCTCAGTTACTGTGTTCTGTTGCTTACCATGGCATCTAATATGTATGGTATGCTTCCCTTTAATGGTAAATCTGACTTTGATATTTGGAAACAAAAGATAAAGTGTGTCCTTATCCAACAGAAAGTGTATAGGGCTGTCACTGGTCAGTTCTTAGAGTCTGAGGATAAGTTTAAGCAAACTGAGATGAATGAAACTGCCTGTTCCACCATCTACTTAAATCTGTCTGATTCTGTTCTTAGAAAAGTTGGGGTTATTGAGTCTGCTAAGGGTCTGTGGGATAAATTGGAAACTTTATACACTGATACTTCCTTGCCTGGAAAATTGTTTTTACTGGAAAAGTTTTTTAGGTTTAGGCTTGACCTAAATAAAGACATTGAGGAAAACCTTGATATTTTTAATAAACTGATTCAAAATATTAAGCAAGCTGGGGACAAACATATAGATGACTATACTCCCATTGTTTTACTCAATGCTATTCCTGATTCCTATAATGATGTTAAGTCTGCCATTAAATATGGGAGGGATGATATAACCCTAGACATTGTTGTTAATGGCCTAAAAAGCAAAGAACTTGACTTAAAACAGTACAGGGGTAATCATCACCATAATAAGGATTCGGGTGAAGCTTATTTTGTCAGGGGTAGGTCTAAAAGTAGATCTAGATACCCTAGGAAAGATAATCAGGATAGGAACAGTAGGAACCCAAGCAAGAAAAGGTATAAAAGTAAAAAAAGGGTTTGCTACAACTGTGGCAACCCAGGTCATTTTATAAAAGATTGTACCCAACCCAAAAGATCAGAACAGGCTCAAGCAAATGTGGTCACTAATAAGGATGTCGTTGATGAAGTCTTTATGGTTAGTGATGAGGCTAATTCTGTGCTTAATAATCTGACTGAGAATGAATGGCTTATAGATTCTGGCTGTACCTACCATATGACACCCTTTAGGAACTTGTTCTCTTCCTACACTCTGTGTGATAGTGGGTTTGTGTCTCTAGCTAATAGTAAGAGGTGTGATGTTCATGGTATGGGTGACATAAGTCTGAAATTTGATAATGGAACTGTTTTCAAATTAAAAAATGTTAGACATATTCCTGATCTTAGCCACAATCTGCTTTCTGTGTCTGCTTTTGAAGAGGATGGTCTTGAGGGAAAATGGGGGAAAGGGTGCATGAAAATCCTGAAAAATTCTTTGGTTTTGTTCAAGGCTTTGAAACAAAATAACCTCTATGTTGTTAATGCTAAACCATTTTATGAAAAGGCAAATGCTGTGCTCACAGACAAGTCTGTGCTTTGGCACCAAAGACTAGGTCATATGAGTAACAAAGGCCTAAATATTTTACAAAAATCTGGCTGTTTTGGAAATGACTTAGTGTCACATGTGCCTTTCTGTGAAGGTTGTGTTTTAGGCAAACAACATAGGGTTCAGTTTCCTGTGTCTAGCTATCCTAGTGAGCCTAAGTCTAAGTCTGCTCTTGACTACATACACGCAGATGTATGGGGTCCTTCCAGTGTTCCTACCCATGGGGGAAGGAAGTATTTTCTGTCTGTAATTGATGACTTCTCTAGGAAAGTGTGGGTCTTCCTGTTAGAACACAAATCTGATGTGTTTGTCAAGTTTAGAGATTGGAAAACCTTGATAGAAAACCAAACTGGCTATAGGATTAAGACTCTTAGGACTGACAATGGCTTAGAGTTTTGTAACCATGACATGGATAGGTTCTGTGCTGATCATGGGATTAGGAGACACAAAACTGTACCCTACACTCCCCAGCAAAATGGTCTGGCAGAAAGAATGAATAGGACCCTCTTAAACAAGGTCAGAAGCATGCTTGCTACTTCTGGCCTTCCCAAGAAGTTTTGGGGTGAGGCTGTTATTGCTGCAGCCTATTTGATAAATAGATCTCCTTCAGTCCCTTTAGAGGGTAAGTGTCCTGAGTCTGTCTTCTCTAAGAAACCCCTTGACCTGTCTAACCTGAAAGTGTTTGGGTGTGCTGCATATGTACATCAACAAACTGATAAACTAGACCCTAGGTCTAAGAAGTGCATATTCCTTGGTTACCCTGAAGGGATAAAGGGATATAGGGTATGGGATAGAAACCAGATTGGTTTTAAGGTCATTATCAGTAGAAACGTTGTGTTCAATGAACATGATTTCCCTTGCTTAGCAACAACCTTAACAGAGCCTGAACCCAACTCTGATGGCACCTCTCAGATTGAGGTGGAGCCCACTCAAACTACTGCTATTCCCTTGTTTAATGAAACTGAGCCTACTGATACTTCTGAGTCTTCTAGCACTTTGCATGAAACCCCCTCCACCTTTAGTGAGGTGGAGCAGTCCACTAAAACTGCTAGTAGTGAAGGTTTACAGGAGACTTTTGTTGAATCTGATTATACTGATACTAATGAGTCTGGTTCTATTCCTGTTGTGAACAATAGCCTGGATGATTACCAGTTAGCTAGAGATAGGACTAGAAGGAATATTAAGAAAGTGTCTGATAGCATGAATGATTTTGCTTTTCACTTATATGACACTTCCTTGTTTGCATTCTCTGTTTTTGAAACCCTCGACTTGAATGAACCTAAGACTTACCAAGAAGCCCTTGGTTCTAGAGAATCAAAAAGATGGCTAGATGCTATGCAAAGTGAAATTGAATCTCTGAAACTAAATAGGACTTGGACTCTTGTTCCCAGGCCTCATAACTGTTCTATAGTTGAATGTAAATGGCTGTTTAAGGTAAAAGAAGAACCTAATGACATTAGGTTTAAGGCCAGATTAGTTGCCAAGGGTTTTACCCAAAAAGAAGGTGTGGACTATGCTGAAATATTTGCCCCAGTTGTTAAGTTTACCACTATTAGGATGATGCTTGCCTTAGTTGCTTATAATAACTGGGAAATGAAGCAGATGGATGTTACTACTGCTTTTCTGCATGGTGACCTTGATAAACAGATTTTCATGACCCAACCTGAGGGTTTTACTGACCCTAAATACCCCAGGCATGTCTGTCTACTGAAAAAGGCCCTCTATGGCCTGAAACAGTCTCCTAGACAGTGGAATATAAGGTTTGACCAATGCATGACCTCTTTAAAGTTTAAAAAGTCTGATTCTGATCACTGCCTGTACTTTAAAGATACTGTTTCTGAACCTGTTTTCTTGTTGATATATGTTGATGATATGCTGCTTATCAGTCCTTCTGTGAATGCTATAAAGTTTGTTCAAAAATGTCTTAGTGAGAACTTTGCTATGAAAGACCTAGGAGATGCTAAAAGAATCTTAGGAATTAACATTGTTAGGGATAGAGATAGTTGTACTCTCACCCTGAACCAAACCTCCTACCTGGAGAAGGTCTTGAAGAAGTTCAATTTGGACTCTGCCCAACCTGTTGATATTCCTTTAGCACCCCACTTTGTGCTGAGCAAGGATCAGTCCCCAAGGACTGCTCCTGAGATAGATAGGATGAAATCTGTACCCTATTCCAGTGCTATAGGGTCAGTCATGTATCTCATGGTAAGCACAAGACCTGATATAGCTTATGCAGTTAGTTGCTTAAGTAGATACATGGCAAACCCTGGTATGACTCACTGGACAGCCCTTAAATGGCTGCTTAGGTACCTTAAAGGTACCCCCTCTCATGGACTTGTGTTTTCTAAAACCCCATCTGGTATTTTGCTGACTGGTTATGTTGATTCCAATTATGCAAATGACAGGGACAATAGGAAGTCAACTACCTCCTATATTTTTACCCTTTGTGGTTCCTGCATAAGCTGGAAATCACAACTGCAACCTATTGTTGCATTGTCCACTACTGAATCTGAATACGTTGCAGCCACTGAAGCCTTTAAAGAGGCCATTTGGCTGAAGCGTTTACTAACTGAAATTGGTTTTCTTAAGCAGGTTGTGACTGTCTATTCTGATAGTCAGTCTGCCATCCAGTTATGCAAAAATCCAGTCTTCCATGACAGGACCAAACATATAGATGTCAGATTTCACTTTATAAGGAATATTGTTGATGCAGGTGATATCAAGCTGTGCAAGATTGCTTCTGAGTTCAATCCTGCTGATATGGGAACTAAATGTCTTAATTTTGAAAAACTTTTATCTTGTAAACGTACTCTTAATTTAGACTGTGGCTAGATAAGAACAGGTACACAAGAAAAACCGGCGATGATGATACTCCCTTTCACGTTGTGCTCTACACCACCAGGGGGGCCAACAAGGTGGAGATTGTAAGTAGGTATTGGCCCCCCTCCTTGACCCTTTGACCCACTCCATTTAATGTCTTGGTCTCCTATTAAATGTTTCTGGCCCATTTGGGCTGGCAGCCTGACTTAGCCCATTCGCCCACTCTTGTTTATTTCTGGCCCGTGACTCTTGGTGGCCCTCTCTTATATTGTCTGGTTCCTTCTGGAACCGCCTATTTCTTCGTCCCTTCTTCTCTCTAACCGATGAGAAGTCGATTGAGTTGCCCCTTTCCTAGAGTGAGAGAGTGCCGGTTTACCGATGGGTCTGAGCTCTGGCTACCTTCGGTAATACCTTGGGAATCCTGTTGGGGTCTTCACCTAGGTCTGGTTGGTTGGGGGGGTTCTCTTCTCCGGTGGGTCGTTACTGGGTAGTCAGGCTGGGTGGTTTGAGTTCCTAGACTGAGGGTTGCTGGCTTGATGCCCTTTTGATCTTCCTTGAGTTCCTCCTTGGTGGTGAATGGTGAGCAAGCCTTTGGGCTATGGTGATTGAGGTCTGAGCCGGTCCAGATTCCTTACAATTATTAACTTGCCTGAATACTTTGCTAAAGAAGAAAATTAAAAAAGATGATGCACTAATAAGTAATAACTATTCGCATGTGCCGATTACTATTGACGGTGGTATTGCGTTCTTCCTTCAATCACCATTTGCTTTTACAAGTCGAAAATTAAATTGAGAGGGGTAATCACGGTTTGCTTTTACGAATCTAAAATATGATCGTGCATAATCATAATATGACATTAATCTCCAACATAATCAACTAAGCATTGATAGTGATCATAATAACTATTATACATAGTATTATCATGGCCTTTTGTTAATCCACCGCCTTAATCCGACTTAACTATGTTCTTTTAAAAAAGGAATCCATGAGGGAGCAATAACTGTTCTAGACAATCAAAGTGTAATTGCTCCTTTATTCTATTTTAAATAAATTCTCTATTGATATACTGGGAGATGGAGTCTTTAACTACATCCTAATAGATATGAATATTTCATATGAAAGCCAGAATCTTTCAGAAAACAGAATCTTGTCTCGGCTTGACCTTTTATAAGTGGAGATAGAATAAAGCGGCCACAAAAAAGTGTTTATTGTCTATTCTTGATTCAACACATTTCCACGCCGTAGGGTAAACCATGGCCTCTAAGGTCCCCGGCCGACTTAACAGGTCGAGGATAGACAATAACTTCCCCCAAACACAGCTTACAACTTTCATCGTACTGTGCTCACCTCCGTTACCTTTTGAGAAGCCTACGCCCCATAGAGTTGTCTACTTGAAACGGTTCCTTAATTATTTTTTGTTTTTACTAAAATAAATGCAAAAGACAAAAATATGATTTGATTTTAGTTTTTTTTTTCCTTCAAAAAAGTAATCAATCATATCATGTATTCCATCTGCTTAGTACTACGTATTACAATACGTTAATACCGAGTATAATATAATACTCCATGTAAGGTAACAATTGAGCTACTTACACTTATCATTCATTTGATCTAAAAGAAAAGCGAAGGATGGAAACTTTTATCTCTTACGGCATCTCCAATGCTAAAACGTTAACGGTGCATCCGTGGCATGAGAGATAGACAATAAAAATAAAAAATAAAATATCTCTCTCCTTATTTGAAGGATCTTATATCACTTTGGTAAGTTTTTTTTCACAATGTCAAACAGAATGTCTAGATGGAGATCTCGTGATTGACGTTCCAGAGAAAAATTTACCAAAAACACATAAGACCATGAAACACTACAAGAATTCCGGAAAATTGTGGCGGAATTTAGTGACGAAATAACATCTGACACGATTTTATGACGGAAATTAAAGACAAATAACTATGCCCCACAAATGCGTGACAGATGTACTGTGTCGCTGTTCAGCGACAGATTTTAGTGGCGAATCCATCTTAGACAATAATTGCTAGCTGATTTTTGTGGCTGAAATTTCGTCACAAAACAATGGCGGAATTAATCCGTCTCTAAACTCTGTCATTGAATTACAAATATTAAATTGCACCCACCAACCAAATTCATTTTGCACAAATATCTCATCTACCATTTTCTTTGTCTACAAGCTCTCTTCGATCTGCCATGTCCATACGAGAGAGGTAAGTTTTTTTTGGCTTAATTAAAATTTAATCTTATGTCTTTTTTTGAGCTGATTCTTAATTAATTACTATTTAAGTAAACTTATTATTACATTATTTGTTAGCCTCTTGCGATCTATTTATTTTATGATTAATTTATGAAGACAAATGACATATGTACTATGTGCTTGGTCCTTGTAGATGCTAAAATGCAATGACACCATTTTTAACAAATATTATAATACTTGTACGTGTTTTTGTTGCTAGCTTTTTAAATATGTTGGAAAATTTCAAAGAAATTTAAGAACAATAATAAATTTAAACATTGTTGGTTATTGTTTATTTTTATATTAATTGAAAGAAATAATTGAAGTTGTTGATCTATTATTATGTAGTTCTCCACTAGTTCACAGTTTCATTATATTTTTTTGTAGGAGAGGATTTTGGGGGAAGAAATTAATCCCCTCAAAATTTGTGAGACATACCATCCGAAACAGAGAAAGAATGGAGAGCTGATTGATCATACGTCACATTCAGAAGTTATGGTGTGTATTGCTTCTCTATTCTAGGTTTTACCTTCCTTAGGGATCAAATGTAATGTTGTACCCTGGCTCACAGATTCCCGCTTTGCAGTTTTAGTAGAATGATTCCATCTTTTTTACTTTTATTAGAATTTCAGTAACTTTTTTAACTTTACACACGCAGTGGTTCATTCTGTCATTCGTCATAATGAAGTGTGAAAGCCCTTCTATATTCTGTCATTTTTGTGAAAAAGTAATGGACCTTATTAAAGGAATTCTGCTACAGAATTATATAAAGATTTCAAGCTACTTTGAAACAAATGCTTAAAATAAAAATACTTTTAAGTCTGGAATGAATTACACCCTTTAGTTATCAAGACTGTAGTTAATTAAGTTTGGGGTACTTAATGTTGTTTATATCTTCTGTGAATGACTTTTTCTGTTCATCAAGTCAGACGTTATTCTGAATTCTCAAATGTGATATTCCATAAGCTGCAGTCCTTATTCTTTGTGTTTGGGAGAATTTTTTTCTGTTTTCAAGAAGATACGACCATTAAGTGGACTGTTTTACTATTAAGTCTTATATTATACGTAGTATTATATATTGCTTCAAACAGTTTTAGTATGAATCAAACTGTATTACTATTAATGCTATAAGACTTTGTTTGCTATTAAAGTATGTTGTATGAATACAGGAGGCCATTGAGAAGTTATCTGCTGCATTTAAAGAACACGTAAAGCAAACTCAACAATCTGAAGCTGAAATTGGAGGCTCCAATAATGCATCCAAAGCTGCATTTCCTGATTTGCATTCCAAATATTTGGAAATTGCTGGAGGCAAGAACAAAAAAATATTTGGACTAGGAAAGTATGCAGAAGAATTCCTTCATCAACTCCAATCAACTCACCGAAAGACTTCTTTATCTTCACAACGTGCACTTGAATTTTGTGTGTTTTGGGATGAACATATGCGGAAATGGTTATCTTCACAAGGAGAGGAATGTCCACCAGTAATGCCACTTGTGGATGAAAGTTTGCTACATGAAGATCCTTGCTCACAACCAAAATCTTTTGAGGAAACATGGCTTCCATTTTTGAAGTCACTTGGAATGGAAGTACCAAGTTTTTTTGAGTTCACTAATTCATCATCATCTCAAGACTCCCAAAACATTCAGCAGTAGTTATTTTCCAATAGATATGCAAGTATTTTGGGTGTATTTTTGGATTGTAGTAAGGCTTGTACTTATGGTACAATGACTTTTAAGTATTCACTGGTATTTGTTACCTCATTCATTCAAGTATGACTTTAATGGAGCATGTATCAAGTTTTTGCCTACCTATATATCTTTGTTTAATTATTAATGTTTTAGTTATAATGCCTTGTGTACATTATGTTGTTATATAATTGAATTGACATATTAACTTTTAAAAAATTTAATGGCATAAAAATATTAAAAAGGAGCAAACTACTCTGTATTTGTTATTTTGTTTTTAAATATAACTATTTTAGTAGCAGCATATAGTGGCGAATTATTTGTCACTAATAATAGTGGCGGAATGTATAGTCACTAACTCCCGTCTTCAATTTGTGACAGAAATGAAAGTTCGCCACTGAAGTATTTAGCAGCACGATTTCAATGACAAAAGTTTCGTCAGTAATAGGCGTCATTATCTATGTTAGTGACAGATTCATTGACAAACTTTCCATCACTAAAATCCTTAAATTCTTGTAGTGAAAAGACGGGGACAAAAATGTCATAAAATCAATCTTTGTATCATGCCACATGTGCACTGTGTAGATTGTAGCATTGGAGATGCTCTTACAATCTTCATTCAATTTTATGAATAAATTAAAACAAGATTGTATCATTTTCTGATGTGTTCGGTCAATCTTTTAAATGTTAAATTCAACGTTGGTGTAATTGAAGATGCATGCTTATTAATCTTCATCTTTACTGTTAAGCTGAAAAATTTCTTGCGTGAGTGTATGAAAGGTAGTCGAATATAGCCCACATATTATTTATACGAAATACTAAATAAGGGGTAATTAATGTCATTAGTCACTTTTTGTAACAACTAAAAAGTCATGTTTAATTTTTTGGAGTTAAAAACGCCAATTTTCTTTTATCATTATCATTATCGCTACTGATGCATGTTATTTAGTACCACATTAAAGAATAGTTTTACAGTGTATTTACTCAACTTTTGTACAATTACGATGTAATTTTTATTTTCTAAATTAGATTAGAATCACAAGATATTAAGAAATTTTGACATGTAAACAAGATATCTGATGCAAAAACTAGAGAAAATCACTTTGAGAGCATAATGAAATAGCTTATAAAAAGGGAAGCTTCGTGGGAGTAGAGACAAAGAAAGAATAAAAAACTGATTTGATTATACACGGTATAATTTGACCTCAAATGAATGAAGTTACGGAGGAAAAAAAAGAAGTGGGAAAATTGGATGTGGTAAAACACCATGTAGGTATCAACATCAGGTCGGATACCTCAAACCCCACGTCCCCACCTATTTTTGTATAAACATCCCCCTATTTCACTTGTTTAGTATCCCTTCTATGGTAGAGAGAACTTAGGTAGTCTAAAAGTGCCGCACCTGTCCCAGATATGTAGGTTTGGAGGCGCTTGTTCCACAGAAGTGCCGCACGTGTCCCAAATAGTAAAATAAAATTGAGAGCGGAAATAAATTTGGAGGCGCTTCGGACTAAAAGCGCCGCACGGATGTGAAAAAAATTTAAAAATAAAATTGTACAATCAATAGAGGCGTTTGTATATATAAGCGCCTCAAATGAAGCGCCTCTGTTTGGCATTTTTCCACTAATGCCTTTTAAGCTCGATTTTGTTATATTGAAACTCATGTTTTGTAATATGTGAATTATATTCTTTAATTATTCTCTCTTGAATATTAATAATATTCATAAATCTATGTCATATTGATGTTAGAGCATGGCTACTGATCAATTGGTTAATGCTTTCATATTGATTATTACTAGAATGGATTGATTAATACATAGTTTTTTTTTGGAGTAAATTATCTTAATTAGTTATCTTTCATTAAGTCATGATCCAAATCCGAAATAAAACAAGCAGGGGGTGAATAAAACCGTTCTCGACAATAAATATGTAGTTATGCACTTGATCTTCTACTAACTACTAAGTGGTAACTTTGTATTAGAACACATGCATCTTAATTTACTAAAGAGGAATTAATTATATTGATCGATTTGAAAATCACTTATGTTAAAGTGTTCTCCATCTTAATGATTTCATGTGAAAATAAATTGCTACTATGCGATCAATATACGATACTTGTTCTGTATTTACTAAATAGTAAATACTACCTTCGTCCTCCTAATATTGGGACGGAAGGGAGTAATGTGGTATTTTAGAAAAATAGAATTATGTGGTTGATAATGAGTTGATAAAGTGAGAATAAAGTAAGATTGAATTAGAGTAAGACAAATGTTACCAAATATAGTATGAGATAATAATAGTAGAATATCCAAAAATGAAAAAATAGGACAATTATAGGGGACATAAAGAGTAAGAGTTGTTAATACATATTCTACATGAATTGAAAATACTCCACAAAATAGATAAATTACATACTCCGCAAATGATACTTTTTGTTGTAGTGGAGCTTTATGAGTTGAACAAGCAAAACATTTAGCATTGCACGGACAACTACTGGACAATTGTATCGATAAAATTACAATGACTTGTAACTTTATAGGAAGTGAAGTGGGGAAAAATAAGATAAAATTAAAATGGTTGAATTAGCCTGAAAGTAGGCTCCATTTGATTTCTTTTTATCTTTTGTTAAAAAAAATGAGAGTTTTTCATATTGATTAAGGTTAATTCGAAATGCAAACACAAAAATACTACATACAGCCTCTAATTTAATTAAATTAGAGAGATTATTTAGATATCTATTTTATATCGGCTTCGTATTACCGATTTGTCAGCAATGTTTACTTTTCTAATCCCTATAGACCGGCCACGCTGTTCATAAATGGGCACTCTCAATTCTGTCCATGAATTGGCTTCTAACTATCGTTCATAACTGTCTCCGATCCACCGACCTATAACACCATCATTGTAAAGAATACTTGTTCATGGATACTAGTTACATGCACTTTTTCATACCAAGTATGAATTACAAATTAAAAGGATAAAACTGTAAAGTTATTAATTTAATTATTTATTCGTTTATTCGAGGTTGCATCTAAGTAAAAAGGTGGCCGCAAATAGAATTTTCTCATTTATAATCTTATTATCACGTTGCTAAAATAACTCTTGTCATCTTTGCCAATTTTGTAAATTGGCTCCATGCGGTCTTGGACAATTAATCTCTTGTTTGTCAAGGTCGTCAAAGAGTTTGAATGGCGAAATAGTTATTACTTATTACTCATTAATGCATATTGTTAACTATAAATTAAGAACTCGTCAAGACTAATAAAAAACAACTACTTGGTTTAATTGTGGGCTTTCTCATTAATAAATTAAAGACTAAAAAGCAACTTCTTTCCATCGTTGCGGTAATAGAGACCCGGGGGTGATGTTCCTCCAAATTAAAGTAAAAAAAGTACCTATGCACATTTTGTATTTTGATCCGGTCCCTCTAGAAAGTAAGTTAATAATTGCCCCCCTAAAGTTGAAAGACCGAAGCAGATTCATTTAATTTTAATGAAAATGAAAAAATTAGCTTTGACAACATAGAACACTTTCACATATAAACAAAACTTATTTAGTTTATCCAATTTCTAAATTGATAAAAGCTTTACATTTAATTTAAATATATATTGTGAGTTCTCCTTTACTCGAGATAAATATCAACCTTGTTGCTCTACATTAATGGACACAATTCATCACTTGCGAAGAGATTTTTAAGTAAATCTTTTGGCACCACAAATATGTTCTTTAATGTAACAAATGCGACTTCCTAAGCTCAGTCTCTTCGCTCGTAGAGGACTGACTATATTCTCGAATAGATAACAATAGACAAAATCAAAAACCAAAGAACAAACATAATGGATAAAAATGAAAAGGAGACAAACAACACAAAAACTAATCAAGATATATTTAGAAAGTGAGGCAAAATGTAAAACGTATAACGCAATAAAGGAAATATAACTGAGACAAGTTGAAATATAAGCCGTCTTATATTAAAATATAGCTTGAATAAAAGTTACTGGCCTTCAAATACAAATATGAGTTTTTTTTTTGTTTTTTGAATGAAAATATGAATTTTATTTAGATTATTAAATCTTCAATTTTGAAATAGAGAAAGAAAGAAAAGTCCAGCGGTTGTTCACAACTTGACATCTAACTTATCGTGTTACAGAGTATTATTTAACTCCGTTGTCTTTTTTAACAATCAACAACAAGCCAAGCATTGCAACCAATATATTAATCTACAATCCACCATAACTCCATAAGTCTCGTACCATGGTATGTGTTATATTTTGAATGTTGCCATGGCAAAAAAAGAGTGTATGGTTGTTTTCTTTCTTAGATTACAATGGTGCCCTTTTGAGGTGATCAGCAAAACTACACTCTCATTTCCTCTTTCTGTCAATGATCCTATGGAAATCAATTTCCTCAAGAACTTGAAAAGTTTAAAATTAAAGAGTGTCCTCGTAAAACCGGGCCCCTTAATTGGTTCTTGGAGCAGCAGTTCTTTAGGTATTTTCTAACTCATTCATTGCGTTAATCTCATTACTTAATCAACATTTTTCCTGCTTCGTTTTTTGCCTTTCCTTGTAAAGGCTTGTTTCCTCATATTGTAATTATTTGTGAACACATGGGGACCATTTGTAAGAACATACTGATCTAAACATGTCAAAAACTCCCAGAACACATTCAGATCAATATGATGTTTAGCGGAAGCAAAATATGGAATTACATACCTCCAGCCATCTCCTTGAAGAACACAATGAACTGCCCTAGATGTTTTGCTCTTCCAAGCCCTTCTCTTCACCTTCACTAGATGGTATGTGTATACTAATGGTGAGGAGCAGACTCAGGGTGCCGAAACAAGAGCCAATCGGCCGCTATTTAACGAGCTCTTCCCATCAAGGAGCTCCCATCGTGCGGCAAAAGAATAGGGAGAAGTTACCGATCTTCTCTCTCGCTAATGAGTTGGGGAAATAATGGGTAATCTTTATCTAATAAATGGACCACTTCAGATTAGTTTTTCCCCTTAAATAAATGTACTTTATTTTCTGAATAATTAATATTAAAATATTAATTTAAAACTTCCGTAACTAATATGGGAAAAACTAACATTCTCCCACTTGGTCCATTTAACCCATTATCAAACCTTATAAGAGATAAACATATGAATCATGGAGACAAGTCCTTTGCTATAAAGTATTATCATCCATGTATTACAATATATTAAATCTCTTAAACATATGCTCTTGACTTAATGAATAAACCACATGTTTATTATAAGCCCAAATAAATTAGTATTTCTCAAAACAATCATTAATGTGCACAATAAATTTGAGAATACACCAAACTGAATAAGAGTTCCATAATAAATAAATTTATGAAAGCTAAATCATGGTACCAAGTCCCATGAGAACTACATGATCCTGAAATTTCTTTGGTGGCATGCCTTTAGTTAAAGGATCAGCTATCATTAACTCAGTGCTAATGTGTTCAATGACCACCTTCTGGTC